TGGCACGGGGGCGCGTCAGCGCGGACCAGCGACGCCGCGTGGGCACAACACCGCCCCCTCAGCTCGGCAGGCCCAGGAGACACAGCCCAGGACCCAACCATAGACAAGGCCACGACCCTGGGGGGCAGCCCCGCCGCCAGAGCAAACCGCAACGGCCGCACGACGCCCCTCCAGGCAACAACTCGCTGAAGGTTGACTCCTCCCAAGGGCAAGGCGTACCGAGATGGTTGGAATACCGCAGTCGCCTACGCCCTCTCTCTGCGGATCCGCGCCGCCGCAGCGACGCCGAGACCTGCGCCTCTCTGGCATCGAGGGGTTGGCTGGACCAGTGCGATCGGTGGGTGGCCAACCACGCGCGCGGACTCGCGCGCACGAGTTTCTCGTCACAAGAGACAGACTGGCCCACGCGAGAACAATGAGGACCACACCGCCGACATCCGAGAACGTCTGGGAGCCTCCGAGAGTCGTGGCACACCCGGGAAGACTTTCGGACATCTTCGACCATCGTCGACGACGACGAGGCCCACGACGACGACCTGCGGCGCCTCCAACAGCAATCTGGAAGAGAAGGAAGGGAGAGGACGACGAGGACGACGAGGACAACGACGATGAGGACCCGAGATCCGATGTTTCGATTTCTTCAATGCACGGCCCCTGGAAGTCCCGAACCTTTCCCAAGGGCTGGCTTGTCGTGCCGAGACATATTTTGGCAGCCCAGGGGCCCAGCGATGCCTTCCCGAGGCTGGAAACGTGGAGAACCTTCTTTTCTCTCCCGAACTGTGCTTGCACAGAGTTTTTTTTTTTTTTTTTTTTTTTTTTTTTGTGTGTGTGTGTGTGTGTGTTGTCCAAGTTCTACAGTGTGTGCCCCGGCGTCGGTCTGGCCGGCTCGTCGCCGCCCGTCGCCGCTGGGCCCCAGGGGCGGTCTGGCTGGCTCGTCGCCACCCGTCGCCGCGTTGCTTTGCACTGCTCTGTGTCGCTCTGCGCCACATTGCGTGCACCAAGTGGACTTCACCACCCAGATTGCACCACCCAGATTGCGCCGCACGGCTTGCAAGAAGTCGCTGCTTGGGATTCACGCTGGCTGACACTGTTTTTCGATGCGTTGGATGTCTGGAGGGGACGACTCGGGAGGGTGTCAAAGGGGGGTGGCCTGAAAGGGGGGGTGAAGAAAGGGCCCCTTTTGGAGCGAATATGGGTCCAAAAGGGGCCCTAAAGGGCCCCTTTCTTCAGCTCCCCTTTAGGTCTACCCACTGACATCCGCCCGAACGACCAGGACGAGGACGACGCAGGTGGCCACCCGGGTCGCCTCCAGCAATCTCCCGCGGGCGCCCGCGGCTGGCAGCGCGGCCCTGGCCCGCCGCAGGGCCTCTTTCCCGGTAGGGCGGGCGCGGGGGCTGGCCGATCGGCGCGAGGCGCGCCTGCTTCTTCTTCTTCTTCTTCGTCGTCGTCGTCGTCGTCGTCGCCCTCGCCGCAGTGGCCTGGCCGCCGCAGACGTCGCCGTCGCCGCCGCTGTCGTCTCCATCGTCGTCTTCCTCTTCTTCTTATTCTTATTCCTCTTCCAGCAGATTCGAGGATTCAATCTCGTCTCTGGTCTGTTTCGGGTCTCTAGAGACCTCTGGAGTCCTCCAGGGTCGTCGTCGTCGTCGCCGTCACCGCCACCGCCGCCGCCGCCGCCGCCGCCGCCGCCGCCGTCGTCGTCGTCGTCGTCGTCGTCGTCGTCGTCGTCGTCGTCGTCGTCGTCGTCATCGTCGTCGTCCTCGCCGTCGCCAACGTTGTCGTCCTCGCCGTCGCCGTCGCCGCCACCGCCGCCATCGCTGCCGCCGCCGTCTTTGTCGTTGTTGTTGTCGTCGTCACCATCGTCGTCATAGGAGGAAGGGAGGACGAGGACACCGAACAGATGACAGGTCCAGCTGTGGAGGGCCGTCAGGGACGGCCTCGGTGCCCCCGAAACCCTCGGCTGCGCGCAGCCGCTGGCCTCGCCTCGCCACGACCGCACGACCTGGCGTATCCCACAGGAGGCGCGGCAGAATGACGGCCTCGCGACGATGACTGGCCGAACGCCTCCGCCCGCGGCTCCAGGACCAGTCGGCGTCAAATCGGGAAATCTGATCGGATCAGAACGTGCGCCGTGCGAGCATCGGGCCGCAGCGGATCGTTGGGCGAGATCGATCCTCCTCGATCCTCGGTCGAGCCGCCAGAGGTCCGAAGCACCCCTTCACCCAGCCTGCGCGGCCGGCGCCGCCGAGCACAGGCCCCCCTCGACCCTCGATCCTTCTTGACCCTCGATCCCCCTTGGCCCTCGATCGAGGAAGGAGGAGGAGGAAGAGGAGGAGGAGGAGGAGGAGGAGGAGGAGGAGGAGGAGGAGGAGGAGGAGGAGCAGGAGCAGGAGCAGGAGGAGGAGGAGGAGGAGGAGGAGGAGGAGGATCGAGAATCGAGGAGGACCGAGGAGGAACATCGAAGCAGATCGGGCCAGCCGACAGCGAAATCGAATCGGCCCGACGTGGACCCCGCAGCAGCCCTGGGCTGGCCCGGCCGCCTGCAGCGCCTCCGACCGCGCGTACTCGCGCGTATGATCCAGCAGGCGCTCGCTCGCCTCCTGGGCCTCCTGCGGCGCTGCTCTCCGTCGCCGTGCGCCGGCACCGCCGCCGCCGCCGCCCAGGCTGCGCGCCTGGGCTGCACCCCCGTCGACGACGACGGCGACGACCGCCCTCCGCGGACCAGGGCCTGGCCGCAGCCCGCCGGTCGTCGCCGTCGTCGGGCATCGCCGCCGTCGGGCGCTGTCGCGCGTCGTCGGGCGTCGTCGGGCGTCGGGCGTCGGGCGTCGGGCATCGGGCGTCGGGCGTCGGGCGTCGGGCGTCGTCGTCGTCGTCGGCGGGCGTCGCCGTCGTCGTCCGCAGTTGTCGTGACCATCGGAGACGCTGCATCGGGAACGAACGGCCTGCTCTGGCCACGGCGAGCCTCGGCCGCAACACCGTCGCCGCCACCACCGCTCTCCGTCGTTCCGCTAGGGCTGCCCTGGCGCTCTCCTCGCCTTCCAGTCCTCGCGATGGTGCCCCGAGCTCGCTCGTTTCCGGACCCCCCGCGCTCCCGCCGCCTCTGTAGGCGGGAGAAGGGCCCTGGGGCTCGATCACGGAGAACGCATTACTGGCTGTCAAGACTGAGATGATAGAGATGCCATGGCCGATGATGAGTAAGCCTAGGACAGGTGCGCAGTATCCCAAACACATACACGTGTCAGGCGAGGAGAGACGAAACCCTCGAACAAGCTAGTTGCAGCTGGCGGGTGCTCGAAATCTCCACCTCCTCCTCCTCCTCCTCGTCCTCCTCCTCTTCCTTCTCCTCCCTCTCTCCCTTCTCCTCGTCTCTACCAACAATTGCTCTCCTTCCCCCCACTACCTCCTACCATCCGTGCTGCCTCCCCTCGTCCCTCGTCCTCCTGCTCCTTCCTCCTCACCCGTCCTCCCACCCGTCCCCCCTCCATCCAACGACGGCAGCGATGACCCTGACGACGACTAGTCGATGACCCCGACGTCGGTGATGACGATGGCGGCGGCGAAGAGGGCGCCGACGACCATGCCGACAGCGACGACGGCCGCGGCGAGGGCGGCGGCGGCGGTGACGACGGCGGTGGCGACGACGACGACGGCCCTGATGACGACGCCGAAAGCCCATCGCCAGCCTGCGGCGACAAGGCGCCGAAGACGCCGCCGCCCAGCACGCCGTGCTTTGCGCGCTTCGCGTAGGCCGTGCGGACCGCGTCCAGGGCGGCGGCCTCGGCGTCGCGTGCTGCCGCCGCGTGCCGCCGCTGTCGTCGCCACATCGCTTGCATCATGCAGTTTGCACAACAGAGCTTGCGCCACAGATCTTACACCACACACGTTACGCCACACGTCTGAAACCACATACGTTATGCCACACGTAACGCCATGCATTATCGCATAAATTTCACCACATAGCTTGCACCACATACATTGCACCGCGTAGCTTGCACCGCACAACTGAACCCACCCATGTATTCTCCATTCAACAAGCGGATCGACTCTACCACCTTTCCCCTGGGATTATCGGTACCATCTTGGATACTGCGTATTGCATATGTTTCTGCCCCATCGGCCATTTTCCATGAGTTCATACCATCTCAACTAGGCCTGATATCGCCCCCGCCATCCCTTTCAAGCAACACTTTGCTTTGGCCGTTTGTTTATAGCAGAATAGATGTTCCCAATGCTGCTGTGTAGCAGCAACACGCAATCCACGCGCGCGCACATGTTCCAAACTCGTACCAAGCACACCATTATTGTAAGACTTTTAACATACAACATCACACGCGTCTCCAGGAATTTCATGACAAACATATGACAAAGTTCTGCCTCCGCGCACTTGCTGAAATCTTACGACAACCATATGGTTTCAAACATGTCGTCATACTCCCATATTCTCAGCTCACCACGCGGTGCATCCGCGTTGATCCGCGTTGATTTCACCACCAGGTGCATCCAGTTCCACGCGCGTGCGTCGAGCCTTTGAACAATTTCAAGAACGAGATTTCCAACAACATTTGAAAACAACCACATGCATTTCAACAACCACCTGCCTGGTTTGTCGCATTTCCGCGCGTGCAGTTCCACACCATCGCACGCATCAGCGCCAGCGAATCGCCGCATTCATCGTTATCGCCAATCGCCGCCATTGCTGCCATCATCAATCAATAACGTTTATCACGGACGCATGGACATCATCATCGTTATCGTCGTCACCAGCATCGGCGCCGTCATTGGCTTTGGCGTCGCCATCGTCATCATCGCTACCACCATCGCTACAATCATCATCGTTGCCATCATTGTCGGCGTCATCATGATACAACGCCCGCCCGAATCACCGATCCGCACTGACGTGCCCGCGCGCATGCGCGGTTTTTGAGATGCGCCGGGAAGTTGCCGTCGGTAAGCGCCATCGCGGCTGCGTCGGTTGCGCCAAACCAGCAGATTGCTCTGCGCACCAGTTTGCGCGCTATAGCGCAGCCGCAGAGATGCGCCAACCAGTGCCGAATATCACCGCAACCGAGACCGCCTGGGTCGTGCGGAACACGTTGCGGGCGTGAGGGTTGAGTGCGCGAGCAGTGGAGTTCGTCTTCAAGTTCTGCGAAGTGAATGAAGCCGCGTAATATGCAGCACATGTACTGCGCCATAGTTTTGACACCACTACTATTTCACCACATAGCTAACATCACAACGCGTACACCACATGTCTCACACCACAAGGCTTGCACCACCTACTTCGCGCCACTTGGCTTCCGACATATGCACCAGACACACTGTACCGCGAATCTTGCACCACGTGCATTGCGCCACATTGCTTACACCACGTGGCATCGCATTCATTGCACTTCGAGGGTGCGACGACCTACTGTTTGGGGTCAACAGTTGCATTGATAGTCGCATCCGTAAGCGTACATGTCGATATATATATATATATATATATATATATACACATTCCCTTTTCTATAATTTTATAATCCGGGGGGAGGCCGGAAATCCTTGCCAAGGCGTGCGCGCAGGCGGATGGCAGTCCCAAATCGATCGGCGAAAGGCCCAAGAGCCACCCAAGACGGTCCAGGATGGAATCCAGCTGGCCTTGACCCCCGCCAGATGCCCGAATATTACCCCAATGTCACTCCAAAGAAGCGTTCGAACCCAAACACATCGATGTTTCATTGGTTTTTGTACCCATGAGCGCCCGAAGCGGTCCCCAAACTGCCCACAAAAGTCCCCATGACCGCCAAAAACTGACCCCACGACGGCTGGCGCAAGGCCTTAGAGACGCCACAAACAGTCCAAAATGGCATCATGTGGTGCAGGCCCTTGCTGGATGCTCGAAGGCGCTTCGAATGTCACCTCCAAAAGGCGCTCGAAATCCTGATAATCTTGATCTTTAACGGTTTTTGCATGCTTTTCGACTATGTCCTCATTCGGCTTGCCAGGCGTCTGAGAACGCAGGCGAGGCACCGAAAACTTTTCCCGACTCCAGAAAAGCCGTACGTGGGCCCAAGACGGCTCCTGAACTGGACAGAAACGGCCCCATGACCGCCCCCAAATGACCCCAAGGCGGCCGGCGGAAGGCCCAAGATACGCCCAAGACGATCTAAAATGGCATCAAATTGGCGTCGGCCCTCGTCGGATGCCCTGAGGCGACCCGAAAGGTACTTCCAAGACGCGCTCGAACCCGAAAAACACGGATGTTTCTATGACGTTGTGAGATTTACTACCATTCGTTCCTTCGGCCTGCCAGGCGTCCGAAAATATTGCCCAAACTCCGACTAAATCCAAACGCGCTTCCTGAATCCCCAAAGCGGCCCCACGAAGACCCGGGAAGGCCCCCAAACCGCCCATGGTCGGCACCCTGACGGCCAGGCGAGGCCCCAACACGAGCCAAATCAGCATCCTCACTCTTCAGGAAGGCGCCATGAGGGCCCTAGACGACTCCCGAACTGCCCATAGGCGGCTCCATGATAGCCCGGGGACACCGTCTGGACGCTCCTTCAACAGGGCCACCCAGGAATCCCACCAGCCCTTTGGGCGTGAGTGGTTTAGAGAGCTCTCTCTGTTCTCAACCCCCTAACCCCCTACTTCCCCTTCGGGGAAGGGTTTACCCCTCCCCCTATCCCCTCCCCCTGGGCCTGGAGAGGGCGGGCCGAGTGCAATCAAGGGGGTCTTTTTCGACTCCTGGGAGGGCCAAAAAACGACGACCCTCACGAGGATTCTGGCCCCCAGGGGGGGGGACCGTTTGGCGCCTCAGACCGTCTTGGAAGCAAACAAACATTGATGTTACTAAGGTTTTGGCCCCATTTTGGCCTCCTGAGGGGGCCGCGCTCCTCTTCCTTCATAGCACAATCATTGATTTTACGAAGGTTTAGGGCTCATTTTGTCCTTCTCAGGGGGCAGCGATCATTTACGCTTCTGAGGAGGTCGCAAGAGGCCCCAAGCTGGCCCCACGAGGCCCCCAGGAGGCTCCCAAGAGGCCTCCAAGGGGCCCCAAAGAGGCCCCCAAGAGGCCCCCAAGAGGCCCCCAAGAGGCCCACAAGAGGCCCCCAAGAGGCCCCCAAGAGGCCCCAAGACGCCCCAAGAGGCCCCCAAGAGGCCCCGAAGAGGCCCCGAAGAGGCCCCGAAGAGGCCCCAAGAGCCTCCAAGAGGCCCCCAAGAGGCCCCACGAGGAGCCCGAACGACTCACACCAGGACGAGGGGCCCGAACGACTCGCACCACGAAGAGCCCGAACGACTCACACCATAAGGAGGGGCCCGAACGACTCACACCAGGACGAGGCGCCCGAACGACTCACACCACGAGGAGCCCGAACGACTCACACCACGACGAAGAGCCCGAACGACTCACACCACGAGGAGCCCGAACGAGTCACACCAGGAAGAAGGGCCCGAACGACTCACACCAGGACGAGAATCCCCAAACGACTCAAACCACGAGGAGCGCTTTCTCTCCCTCCTCCTCCGCCTCGTCCTTCTCCCGCTCCCCCCACAAGGAGGATGTACAAGGAGGCGGGGGGAAGGAGGAACAGGGGAGATATGCGGGGCCAAGCGGACACACGCCTGAAAAACACGACTGTCGGCATGCTTCGCGAGAGTTGCTGCTGTGAGATGGGCTGGTGGGGACACGCGAAGCGTAAAGAATTCCAGCTCTCTAGGGCGCCTTCCCAACGTTCACCCAAGCGTGCAAACGGGCGAGCGGCAGTCCCAAGACGCCCCGAGGACAATCCGAGGTGGCTCCGAGATGGGCCACAAGGCCCTCACACCGCTTCGGCAGGCCCCCATGTTGATCCCGAGTTCCCGCCCGCTCAGATGGTATTTATTCCAGAAAGCAACAGTTTGCCCACAACCCCAGGTTCGCAACCACTTTATGGAAATTCGGTTGCGCACCTAGGACTTCAACAGTTTCCATTTACACCATTCAGTACGCCCGTGGTCTGCTACTCACAGTCTTTGCCCGCTCCTAATTGATTGCCCCCTTCTCCCCTTCCCCCGCCTCAAAGGGAAGAGGGAAAGGCGCGACAGGCCAACCGCTCCAAAGCTGCAAGGAACAAAGTGCATGGCGCGAAACGCAAATGCGGCCTTGTATGTATGTATGTATGTATGTAGGTATGTAGGTAGGTATGTATGTATGTGTGTGTATATATGTATATACTAGAACCACGTGCGCGCTTCGCGCGCGCTTAGGTTCTAGTCACTCCCGCGACCACGCTCAACACCGCCAATGCCGCCACGGCTACCACCGCCCTTTCCGCCATCACCACGGTCACGACCATTTCTGATTCCATGTCCATTCTGGGCATGACCACCCCATCCACAACGATTGCACTGTCCACGACCACTGTAACGGCCATTGGTTCAACCTCTGCCTGTACCGCCACCAATACCACTACCATTGCCACTGCCACTGCCGCGAATCCACGACCACTATCATTACCACCACGGCAAGTGCCGCCACGACCATCCTAATCGTCGGTAGGACCACAATCGGCGCACAAACTGAAGCCAACTGCAGCCATCACCACCACGACCCCTCCAGGGCTCTTCTGGGGGCGTCTTCTGAGCCCCTTGGCGCTGTCTTGGGAGCCTTTTGGGTCTCTCTTGGAGCCCTCTTGGGCCGTTTTGGGGCTCTGATGAGATGTCTTGGGGCCCTCTTGGGCCGTCTTGGAGCTCTCTTGGGCCCCTCTTGGGGGCCTCTTGGCCGAATTGGGGATCCCACTGCTTCTTCTCACGTCCTCGTTATTCAGTGTTCACTTCCCTTCGCCTATGCTCGTTTCCTCGCCCTTCCTCCCCTCGTCCTTCTGCGCACTTTTCCTGCTCAGCCTTCCCCCTTCTCCCTCCTCGTCCTGATCTTTTCTGCATCTTCCCTCCTTCCCCCTGCTCCTCCTCCCTTCCTCGTCTTCCTTCTCCCTCCCCCCCGCGTGGATCTCATGCCCTGTCGAGGTCGCGGTCCCGGGCGCCCCGGCCTCGTGCACGGGGGCCCCGGCACCCCCATGCCCTGTCGAGGTCGCGGTCCCGGGCGCCCCGGCCTCGTGCACGTGTGTGTGTATATATATATATATATATATATGTATGTGTGTGTGCGTGTGTAAAAAATACGCGTGTGTGTGCGTCTGTGTGCGTGTGTGTTCGCTGGCGTAGCCCCCCCTTTTTGTTTAAACATATTACTATAGCCACCTCTATTGTGCGATGCGTGTGGAGCAGTGTATATGGCGCAGTCTACGTGGTAGAATGAAAATTGTGGATCCTCAGTTGTGCAATGTAGGTTGTGATGTATTTGTGGGCCGGACCATGTGTTGCACTTGGCTCTGCCAAACTTGAGATTGTCAGCCCCACTGCTCGCGCAATCATCCCACCCACCCACCCGCAACTTGGTTTGCACCCCCCCTGCGGCGGCGATTGCGATGGCTGCTTGGCGCTGGATGGTGCGTCGCTGCGGTCACGCTACCGCGCGCAGGCTCGCGCACACATCGGCCAGCTAGTCTGGCGCGACCGACGCGGCCGCGGTGGCGCTGACTGCTGGGAACTTCCCGCCGCGTATCGCAAGCCGCGCCGACGTGCGGGCACTTCAGCACGAATCGGTGACGCGGGCGCGCGTCACCGATTCGCGAAGCGCCCAAGGCGCCCTGGGTGCTGGGTGCCCTGGTCGTTGGCGCGCGCGGCCGCGGTGGCGCTGACCGCTGGGGGCTTCCCAGCGCGTCTCGCAGGCTTTGGTGGCGTGCGGGCGCTTCAGTGCGACTTGGTGACTCGGCAGGGCGCGGAATCATGGCGAAGTCGACAACGGCAGGCACGATGATGATGGTAGCGGTGCTGGTGACGATGATGGCGACGACGACGGCAAGGCCGATGATGGTGCCGATGTTGATCACGACGATGACGATGATGGCTTCCACGTGTCAGTGGTGGAGGTTTTAGAAATGCGCGCGCGGCCGACGGGCGCGAGTGGCGTGGCCGACGTTCACGCGTGGCCTGCATGGCCGTATTTTGACAGGGGTCGTGCTCCCCCAAGACGAGCACAAGGGCGTCCGAATGATTTCGGCATGCGCGCGCGAGGGGCCCGCTTGGTCGCACTTGATGAAGCTGTTGAACACCTCCGGAGTTTCGTAGGAATTTAGAAAAAACGCGCGCGTATATGTCGAAACCTCATGCTGCAACCTATTTGTTCTTCAGACATGCCTTCGGAAACCTCGATATGGAAATCCGTGCGAAACCTGTGGTTTTGAATAATTGCGGCATGCCCGCGCGACGACGCGCGCGTGCCGACTTTGTCACGCATTTTTATGTGTTGTTGTTAGTTTCTTTTTCTGTTGCTACGGCCGTGTCAACATTGATGAATTGGGGAGTATGCGTGCGCGCATACTATTATTTGTTATCCACATAGGCTTGACCTATAGGGGTCCTAGCTCATCACCAGTAGTTTGTCTTTAGGACCCCCTCCCTTTTTCCAGTGGCACCCCCCTTTATTTCCAATGGCCCCCCTCCCCCCTTTTGCCAATGCCCCCCCCCTGATTTCCAGTGGCACCCCCCTCAGGCTTGGCTTCCTCTCCTCCCGTCCTCTCCTCCTCGTCTTCTCCTTCTCTCGCTCTTCTCCTGCCCCTCTATGTATTTGGAATCAACGCTGGCTGAATTTAAGGATGGGGATTGGGGAATTCCGGGCACTCCCTGTGACGGTTTGAGTTGGTACGTAGAATAAAAGTTGAAGCAGAACCATGTGTAACTTGCACTGTCCCAGAAACGAGCCGATCAACCGGGGGGAGGGGTGTGGGGGGGTGAATGGGGGGTGGTAGATAGTGCTTCCTGTAAATATCAACCAGCGTTGACCCCAAATAGATAGGAGAACAGGAGGAGGACGAGAGGAGGATGGGAGGAGGACGAAAAGAGGACGAGAACATGACAAGAAAATAACTGGAGGAGCAAAACCAAGCAAGCGCAAGCAAGCAAACGGAAACACGCAATCGCAAACGAGCAATAACAAGCAAGCAAGAGCCAGCGATCAACTGCAAGAAAGCAAGGGCAAGCAAGAGCAAGCAAGCGAGAGCAAACACACAATAGCATGCAAGCAAGCGCAATTGGAAAAAGGGGGGGGGAGGGCATTGGAAATAAAGGGGGGGGGCATTGGGAACAGGGGGGGGTCCTAATGATCAATTACTTATGATGAGCTAGGATTCCTATAAAGCGAGCCTATTTGGAGAAAGCAGAGGAACCTATGCGGTGCAATATCTGATGTGTAATCTAGGTGATGCAATGGTGCAATCTATATGGTGCAATTCCTTTTTTCATAAAAGTGTTGACACATTCCATGCTCTTGCGAACATCCCACCCACCCACCCACCCGCAACTTGGATTGCAAAACCCATGCGGCGGCGATTGCGATGAATGCTTGGCGTTGGCTGGTGCATCTCTGCGGCCGCGCTAGCCCGCGCATGCTCGCGTGCACTCTGGCCAGCTAGTTTGGCGCGACCGACGCGGCCGCGGTGGCGCTGACCGCTGCGCACTTCTCAACGGCACTTCCCAGCGGGCATTTCAGTGCGAGTCGGTGACTTAGGCGGGCCGCAGTATCATGGCGACGCCGACAACGGTAGGCACGATTATGCAAGTAGCGACCATGGTGACGATGGCGGCGATGACGACGGCAAGGCCCATGGCGGCGCCGATGATGACCACGCTCTCGCCGATAATAATGACGATGTCCTCGCGCTGGCGATGAAGGATTTTGAAGGAGTTCGACATGCGCGCGCGGCCGACGCGCGCGAATGACCCGCGTGGTATTATTTGACGCGGGTCGTGCCGCCCCCCCCGCACGCGTGCAAGGGCGTCCGGATGAGTGCGACATGCGGCGCGAGAGGACCGCTTGGCAGAATTGGATGAACATCAAATCCGTTGCTTCCTTACGAATCCGCAAGACCGCGAGCGCAGGATTATCTTGAAAACTGATGTTGGAAACACATGTGTCTTGATCTGTTTTCTGGACACTCGTTGCTTAACTCGTTACGAAACTCGGGATTTTGAAGATTTTGGGCATGCGCGCGACGACGCGCGCGTGTCCACTTCGTCCCGTTTTTTTGCAAGGGATTCTTGAGACAGCACGCGCGCAGAGGCGTTCCAACGACTTCGACATGCGCACGCGAGGGGCCCGTTGGTAGCAATGAAGGTGTTGAAAAACATGGTTTTGTAAGAATTCGCCCGTTTTCAAAACGCGTCGCAAACTCAGGTTTTTGTGGTTGCTTGTTTTTTGGTTGTTGCAATACTCTAGAATTACACGTTTTCGTGACTCCCGATTTTGAAATCCTGGCCTAACCCAAGGTTTTTCTAGATTTCGGCATGCGTGCGCGACGACGCGTGCTTGTGCACTCCGTCCTGTTTTTGGAAATGATTATTGCGAACTGTTCATTGTGATAAACAAATGTGCGAACATACTATTTTTTGCAGAGGGTGAGGGGGGGCCGAACTCTGGTTGGGCTGGGATGAAACCAATTCATGTTTTGGATGAACGATGGGGCAAAATCGTGTGTACATTGTAATTCGAAATGGTGGACCGTCAATTTCTGGGGGGGTAGATCCTAATACTCTTAAGACAGGAGAATGTATGCACTGCAGTCAATGCGACGCGACTTGGTGGTACTATCTACGCAGTGCAACCCAGGCAGTGCAATCTATGTGGTGTAAGCTATGCGGCAGCGGCGACGGCGACAACAAGCGCGGCGACCGCCAGCTAGGCCCAGAAGCAGCAGCGACGCAGGGCGGCGACGCGACGGCGACAACAAGCGCGGCGACCGCCAGCCAGGCCCAGTAGCAGCAGCGACGAAGGGCGGCGACGGCGACAACGAGCGCGGCGACCGCCAGTCAGGCCCAGAAGCAGCGGCGACGGGGCGGCGACGACGACAACATAGCCGCCAGATCGCCAACCAGGCCCAGACGATGGGCGGCGACGGGGCGGCGACGGCGATGGCGACAACATAGCCGCCAAACCGCCAGCTAGGCCCAGTTCCTTAGATGAGAATTAGGAACCCCTAAGTGCAAGGACTGTTTGGGGAAAAACCTTCTCGGACACAACAACTCGGACCTTCGCCCTTTCCCCCCCTTTTTGTTGGCCGGAACCAGTGTTGGGACACCTTAGACCCCCAGCTGGCTCCAACTTCCCTGCAACCTTTGATCCCTCACCCATTTACAGTCGACCCGAATCATAAGGACGCTCGATAAAGATGGAAGGGCCTTGGAAGGCCATGTAGACACTTTGCGAACGGGGCGCTGCCGACGAAAGTGGGCAAGGATGGACCGAGGATGCGAGGATGCGAGGGTACCCTTGGGAGGGTTGCCCATCCTTCCTACGGTAAGCTCGTGTCGTGACGACCCCGTCGTTGGTTTATGACGCCGCGTGGATCGTTCAACCTTGAACGATCGGCGGCTCGTCGATTGCCCAATCGTTTCATGTGAGTCGACTCTGGGCCACTGGCGGCGTTCAACCTTGAACGCCCGCGGCGGGGTCGACGAGGGTCGACACAACGCGAACCTACCGTATGCGGGTTGACTGCATCGCCCCCCCCTCTACGAAACGCCCCACGCGCGCGCGGCGCCGCGCCGCGCTCCCGTCGGCGGGGGACCGCGCGCGCGCGGGGGGGGGCGGCCGCCGAGGGCAGGGCGGACTCCTCCACCTGACGGGCGGCTGGGCTTTGCGGCCGGGAGCTCATGGAGGAGGGAGGAGGAGGAGGAGGAGGAGGAGGAGGAGGAGGAGGAGGAGGAGGAAGGAGGAGGAGGAGGAAACTCTATGCTCCTCCCTCCTCCTCCTCCTCCTCCTCCTCCTCCTCACCCTTCCTCCTCCTCCCACCCTTCCTCCTCCTGCGGCGGCCCCGACGACGCGCTGTGCCCTGCGACCGGGCAGCGCGCTGCTCCGCTCGTGGCGGGAGGAGCGGGAAGGCATCGGGCGTTGACGCCTGGGGGCCAGGAAGTGGGCAGCGAGTCGAGGCGAAGCGTGGTGGGCCAGAACCGGCGCAGCGACACGCTAGCCGAAAGCTCCCGACCGAATATATATATATATATATATATATATATATATATGTATTCCAAGGTGAGGAGGCTCGGAGGCGCGCCTCTGCTCAGGCCGCGTTTGCGCCCAATGCGAGGCAATCCGCTTCTCGGCATCGAATCGGGGAGTCGGATCGAGTCGGAGCGTGGGTCGGATCGGGCCGCATCGGCACGGAATCGAAGTCGAACCAGCTGCACCGGAATGCACAACAGTGCCATGCAAGAGTCGAGCCGCATCGGATCGGCGGGAAATCAAAATATGATCGAAATTGGCCCTGTCTAGTCGTGGCAACTGCGCTTCGTTGTGCAGCGCCCGTGGAAATTATGATGTATCCATGGCGACCTAGAAAGATGCGATGACCGTGGTAGCTAGGACCGGGCCTCTAGGAGAGGGTGTAGGAGTATGGATGGGGGTCAAGCTAGCCAGTCAGAGGGCCCCGCCTACTCCCACCCTCCCTGCCACAACATCACAATCAATGGTGGCACAACTTGATGTTGGGATTGGAACGGGTTCGCACCTCGCAAACGAAAAGCGCTCGCGCGCGGTCCCGCTTCCGACGGCTTGGCGAAGAGACAACTACGCGGGCCGCGCAGAGGCGGGAGCGGCACCGCTTCCGATGGGCGCGGCGAAGACGAAGCATGCGCTGCGCCGACACAGCATTGCCACTTTCACTCGCAAAGATGCGCGGCCTTCGGGCGAGGTCGGCGTTTCGCCCGCTCTCGCGCGCCCCCGCTGCCGCGTTCGCCGTCCTGCGATTCGGCGAACGGCCCATGCGCCGCGCCCGCGCCGGAACGCCACTTCCGATCCACATTCGCGCGGAGCGTGGGCGAGGGCGACAGGTCGCCCACTCGCGCCCCCCCCAATGTTGGGGGGCGGAAAGATACGGATACGTGTTGTCCCCGGACCTCTCTTGGGGTGCGTTCTGACAAGAATTTCGAGGCGAATCCAGCGGTGACAACGAGGATTCCCCAGGAGGACCAGGAAAGGCCGAAAACGAGGGGGGACAACACGTATCCGTATCTTTTTCTCCCTCGACAATGGGCGAGTGGCCAAAACATGCGCCGCGGCGAGGCGGGGGCGCCACTTTCGGGGGAACCCTGCGCGTCGCCACGGCGTCAGCGCCGATTTTTCGCCCGCTCGCGCGTCGACGACGGTGCGTGCGACAGACGTGCGCCGCGTCCGGGCCGGAGCAGGAGGAGGAGGAGGAGGAGGCGGAGGAGGAGGAGGAGGCGGAGGAGGAGGAGGAGGAGGAGGAGGAGGAGGAGGAGGTAACTCTCAAGAAAAATGAGCGCGGCGCCGAGGCGAGAGCGACACTGCGGCCTTTTGCTCGGGACGTACGCCCCGTCCCACTCCCGCCGCGCAGTGTGCAACATGGACGACACAAAGTCCGTGTTGCAACGCAACGCGCAGACTTCGTATTGTTTTTGATAGGCAGTATGGAAGGGCCCAAACTGGGGGGCCATCGGCCGCCCAGGGGGCAGAATGGACCTGTATACTAAAAAGGAATTGGGTTATGGGGGTATGAGCATGGAGGTTGGGGGGATGGGGGAAGGGAGGATGGCAAGCTAGGCGCGCCCGCGCCATGTCTGATATCCTGGTCCTCCCACTCATCCCTTCCCACTGCCCACTGCGCTGATTTTTCTTAATGCGGCGACGCGTGCCACAGCGGACCTGAAGAGGACCCCCTTGTGTTACGCAAAATCGAAAAAAGGGGAGCTGCGTACATTGGAGGAGGTGGCGGATGAGCAAAAGGATGAGCAAGAGGAAATGGATGAGGATGAGGAAGGAGGAGGACGAGGACGAATAGTAGAAGCAGGACCTGGAGTAGAAGGAGCGGGAGGAGCAGGAGGACCCGGGGAAGGTGGAAGGTAAAGGATGGGGGCGACAACGATGAGGAAAGACTCGGATCCAGAAAAGTGGCCCGCGCTGGGGCGAGAGTGTCATTCTGATCGACGGGAGCCAAGCGCCGATCCTACAATAAGGTCGCCGCTGCAACGACAACAATGTTGAAGGACCGAAGACGACCAGATTGTAACAATAAACGAGAAGAGCAGTATTGTTTCCAAACTATCCTGTGGTGTTGGGTCCTCGTTTTGAATCAGCAGTGCCCCGCGTCCCAGTCATCCTGGTCCTCCTCCCCCTCGTCCCTCCTGCCCCTGCCCTGGCACGTCCCTGCCACGCTTTTCAAGCCCCATAGGAGCCCCACAGAAGGCCGACATGAAGAAATCCGCATGCAATTGTGGGCTCAGTTCGCTCGCTCCACAGAAAAAAAAGCCGACATTAAAAAGTCCACACGCAATCGTGGGCTCGTGTCGCTCGCCCCTGCCACGCTTTTCAAGCCCCATAAGAGCTCCACAGAAGGCCGACATGAAGAAGTCCGCAAGCAGTCGTGGGCTCATGATGCTCGCCCCTGCCACGCTTTTCAAGCCCCATAAGAGCTCCACAGAAGGCCGAACGAACATGAAACAGTTCGCTTGCAGCCGTGGGCTCATGTCGCTCGCCCCCGAGGCCCCTCACGCGTGTCGTGGCCCCATGGGGAGCCCCCCCTCCTCCGGCCCACCTGCCCTCTGCGGTACCCACAGCTGCATTCTGCTTGGGTCCTTCGCTAAACTATTGTTTGGGAATCCCGTGCGCGGATCAAACATTTGCGCGGAGAAGGGGGCCGGCCACTCCCCAGGCAGTCATCGGGGGAGAGAGAGAGAGAGGAGAGTAGTAGTCATAGTGCGTGACTGTGGAGGAGTAGCGGGAGGGGCGAGGGAAGGTAGGGGGTGAGGATGGGCGACGAAGGGGATGGATCATCAGGTAGGGGGGGAAGAGGTAAGACCGAGAGGTGGAGGAACAGGCAGAGGTCGTACATAGGGAGGAAGGGGGAGCAGGGAAGGAGGCACTTAGGCACAGAAGGAAGGGGTGGAAGACGACGTAGGAGGTGGGAAGAGGAGGAGGAGGAGGAGGAGGAGGAGGAGGAGGAGGAGGAGGAGGAGGAGGACGAGGAGGACGAGGAGGAGGAGGAGGAGGAGAGTGCGCCGCTCCAGGCTCCTCACCGCCCCCCTACACTGAGCACCTCGGCCTCTGGTTGGCGCACTAGATGTGGTCGTGGCCACGGACGGGGGTTGGTACCAAAGGGCTTCTCGAAGAATGCGACCCTCCACCACCACAAAACTGTCGTTGGCGGCGCGCAGAGGCGGGTACGGGGGAGGGGGGAAGGTTTCTCAGGAGCAGGCCGCTTCTTAGAAGGCGCCGGCCCTGCGTCTGCAGACAAGGCCCGCGCCTTCTAAGAAGCAGGGGTGCTTCTGAGAAGCCTTCCCCCTCTCCCCCTACACCCTTCTGCTCGTGGCTGAGGTCGGTGGGTGATTTCCCGCCTCTCGCAAGGCAAATCCCTGCCGCACTGTGGGCCTCGAGAGGCCTGGGGGCGCCCCTGAGGCCTCCTCGCCTGCTCGGCCTGCGATCTTCGACCCCGTCGTGGCCGAATTCTCCCAAATTTTCTCCTCTCCACGCCGCTGCCCTTCGCCTCCACTCGCTCCCCGCCCGTTGCCCGCCGCGACGTCCGACGAACGCCGTTGGACGCGTGCTTGCTGCAGGGAGGTCGCTCCACAGCGCGCGACCTCCATCATCCTGGGCCTAGCTGATGGCCCCCCCCTCCCTCGGCTCTGCCCCACGGCTCGCAGGGGAGACGCAACAACAAAACCCACTCGCTCCTCCTTGCCTCTGCTCCTCGCCCCCTCCCCCCCGCCCCTCCCGCCCCTCCCGCTGCGCCCCGCGTCGCCTCGCCCCTCTCTGCCTCTGCCCGCCACGTCCCCCCCCCCCCCGCCCTTCTCTGCCTCTGCCCTCTGCACGTCTCTCTCTCTCTCTCTCTCTCGGCGCACTCTCCTCACGGCCCCCGCGGCCCCGTCTGGAGCTCCACCGAAGCCCCCCCCCGCCCTGGCCAGCTTTCAACAAACTAGCATGCTTGCTGTACCTCCCGATGCGAGGCCTCAAGGCGTACGTGTTCATACTGTGCTCTGGATCAGTGCTGAAGCCTTCCAAAGCGGGGGTCGAGAAACACTGACACCAACGCCGCAAAACCGAGGCGCTCAACCGGCGTCGACGGCTAGCTCTCACAGCAACATTCCCTAGACTCTCCGATCCGCGGCCTCGGGAAACACTTACTCTGATGGTGTTGCCAGTACATGTTCTTGACACCGACCAAACCATCGGTTAATGAAACGCTTATTCGAATGCTGTGGAACGGCGACGCGCTTAAGTGGCAACTGCGGCGAACTCTAAACTACGTGTTCCCCTGCGCTCTCCAGCACAGCGGGTAAAGGCATATACATTTGGACTGTGCTTGTGAATCATGCTTCTAACATCTGTCGAACGACATGTTCCTGGAGCGCTCATGCAAATACACATGAACCGCGACGCTCAACTGCGTCGCCAGCTAGCTTTGAAATGAGTACTTTCAGACCCTCCCCTGCAAGGCCTTAGAAGCCACTTAAGTGTTTTGTGCACCTGCCAAGCCAGAGTCTCACTGGTTACACCGACGAACCCTTTTTTGGTGCACCCCGCAGTTGGATCGCGCACCGTAGGGAACTCAACTCGCTTTTGCGCGCCTGGTCCGCCGCTCCTTATCCGCGCTGCCACGAGTCCCACACCTTTCGCGGTAGAGAGGAATGGCCCGTATCCAGCGCTGGTGTTCTTCGGAACAGGAGCATCAGGAGGAGGTGCTGCTGACACTCTTTCTGATACTCCTCAACTGCCGACTCCTACTCACAAGGTGGTCTAAATATCGATGGTGCACTTGCCGACTGTTTGGGGTCCACGCTTCCAAACAATGATTGCCATGAAGACATGCTACTTTTACACATGCACTGCCTTGGTTGCATACCCGTTGTTACGCACGCGGCGCACACATGTACGTCGGTTAGGTCAACCAACAGACATGTACATTACGATTCCGACGCCAGGCCAATTGCAAAGTGACATCTGCACCCATCCCCCACGCAAGCTCCTTATCACCCGAAATGGTGGTCTTACAGGTAGCCTAGTATTTCCTAGCGCGTCAAACCAGATAATAAAATTTCGTGACATCGCCTAACACAGCGTAGCGGGGCGTAACACAACATACATGTGCATACTATTGCAAACAATTACGTGGCGTAGCACGACATCGAACATCCTCCCATGCCATACCGTATGTTAACATCGCAAGGTGCGAAGACAATACATACCATTGCGTACAACCGCATGACGTACGTACCGTGCAAGATGATCGCAACACCACCTACCAATGACATCATACTTTGGTACGAGCCAAAGTCTCATATCAAACGATGGCATGACGCAGTGCCGCCTGGCACAACATATCCTAACACGTTCTGACATGACACTGCATACCGTGGCCTTGCCCACCATGCTTGTAACTCTGCGTATCTGGAACTTGCATTGCCCAGAAAAAGAATAAGGCCAAAGGCAACGCGCAACCAACAAACAAACACGACAAGCATGTACACAACAGAACTCGAGCCATGGGGAGCCCTCCAGGGAACCCCACGGGAACACTCCATGGGAACTCCCCCAAGAGCCCGGGGGGATCAAAGATGATCGCCATTGGCCCTCTTGCACAATGGAAACAGAACCCGCTACGGCGAAGCCCATTTGAGGAAGACGGGGAGAACGGTGGCGAGGATGGGGAGGAAAGAAGCAAGGGGTGGAGCAAGAGAGGGGCTCCAGAGACGGAAGGGGGGGAGGAGGACGACGAAGAGGAGAGAAGGGGTGAATATACGAGGGCGAGGGGGACGACGAGGGAGAGGTGCAGCAGGAGGGCGATGACCAGGATGAGGACCACGACGAGGAGGGGTACGAGGAGGACGATTGGGAGGAGCCTCCTCGTCCTCCTCATCCTCTTCATCCCTCTCCCAATCTCTGTCGTTGTTCCCCATATCCTAAGATGGGGTTCTCGTCATTACTCGGACGCCGCCGGCTCCAAAGAACCAGAGAGAACACCTACTCATACACAGACTTACTCATACTCAGACCTACTCATACTCATACCTTTACTTACTCAACACACAACATGCAGGCCTACTCATACTCAGACTTACTCATGCTGGGACTCCTTCATACCCAGACTTACTCATACCCAGACTCGTTCCCAGACCTGCTCATACACAGACTTACTCATATTCAGACCTACACATACTCAGACCTTCTCCTAGTCTGAATTACTCAACGCACGGACTCAAACTTACTCATACTCAGACTCGCAAGGGGAGCCGCTAGGGGTGTTTTCACGGGCCCGTTCGCGGCCAGTTTGTGGGGATGTCTCCGGCGGTTTGCTCGTTTTCATGCCCAACATCCTTGGCTTTCAGATCAGATTTTGAGGATGTCTCAGGCGGGGCGCTGGTTTCAGCACCCCTTAAGGGGAGCCGCCAAGGGTGTTTTCACGGGCCCGTTCGCGGACAGTTTCTGGGGATGTCTCAGACGGTTTGCTTTTTTGTCATGCCCAACATCCTTGGCTTTCAGATCAGATTTTGAGGATGTCTCAGGCGGGGCGCTTGTTTCAGCACCCCTAAAAGGAGCCGCCAGGAGTGTTTCCACGGGCCCGTTCGCGGCCAGTTTCTGGGGATGTCTCCGGCGGTTTGCTCGTTTTCATGTCCAACATCCTTGGCTTTCAGATCAGATTTTGAGGATGTCTCAGGCGGGGCGCTGGTTTCAGCACCCCTAAGGGGAGCCGCCAGGGGTGTTTTCACGGGCCCGTTCGCGGCCAGTTTCTGGGGATGTCTCAGACGGTTTGCTTTTTTGTCATGCCCAACGTCCTTGACTTTCAGATAAGATCGTGAGGATGTCTCAGGCGGGGCGCTGGTTTCAGCACCCCTAAGGGGAGCCGCAAGGGGTGTTTCCACGGGCCCGTTCGCGGCCAGTTTGTGGGGATGTCTCAGGCGGTTTGCTCGTTTTCATGTCCAACATCCTTGGCTTTCAGATCAGATTCTGAGGATGTCTCAGGCGGGGCGCTGGTTTCAGCACCCCTTAAGGGGAGCCGCCAAGGGTGTTTTCACGGGCCCGTTCGCGGCCAGTTTCTGGGGATGTCTCAGACGGTTTGCTTCTTCGTCATGCCCAACATCCTTGGCTTTCAGAACAGATTTTGAGGATGTCTCAAGCGGGGCGCTGGTTTCAGCACCCCTAAAGGGAGCCGCCAGGGGGTAGGACACAGGCCCGTTCGCGGCCATTTTGCGGGGATATCTCAGGCGGTTTGCTCGTTTTGATGCTGCGAGGAAGGAGATGAGGCGTGCTGCTCCCTTGGCTAAACGCTCGTTGTAGAGATCCCACTGCCAAGTATCCTAAAACAGATGCACATTACCATAGGCTGAGGAGGGCACGGCCTGGCAGCTGAAGGGGGGGGATGAATGAGAGGCTCATATTCCATCATACTCAAGACCCACTCTGATTCATACTCACTCACTCGTGTTCGGATTCACTCGTCTTCGTCGGCCCTGTCGCCCACCTGGACGCGCTATTATAGTGAAGCGCTCATGAACAGACGCTCGCTATGGCATGACATAAAACATGAGATGCGCATATGGGGAGCTCCACGCAGTGAGTCATCCTCCTCGTCCCTCCTACTCCTCCTCCTCCTGCGTCTCCCCTTCTGATCGTAGTTGTCCTCCTCCTCCTCGTCCTCTCCTGGCCCTCGTCTTCGTTCTCGTAGTCTTCGCCGCCGTCGCCGTGCACAGTCGTCGTCGTCGCCGTCGCCGTCGCCGTCGCCGTCGCCGCCGCCGCCGCCGCCTCCGCCGTCGTCGTCGTCGTCGTCGTCGTCGTCGTCGTCGTCGTCGTCGTCGTCGTCGTCGTCGTCGTCGTCGTCGTCGTCGTAGTTGTCGTCGCCTTCGTCCTCCGACGAGAACGACGGCGACGAGGCGGCGCCTGCGCGGGAGCCGCCTCTGCCGCGCCGCCGCCTAGCACGCGTGCTCGGGGTCGTCGTCGTCGTCGTCGTCGTCGTCGTCGTTGTCGACGACGACGTGGATCACGACGACTACAACGCTGACGACGAAATGTGTCGGCGGACTTCGACACGCGTGCTCGGGGTCATCGTCGCCCTCGTCGTCGTCGTCGTCGTCGCTGTCGTCGGCGAGCTTCGGCGAGAGCGCCGACGGCGGCGGCGGCGGAGACGGCGACGACAAGTCTTCGGTTCTGACGGTCCGTCGGCCCGCCTGCAATTTCGCTTCTCGTTCCTCACTGCGGATACGCGGAACGTCAACAGCTAAACTCGTGTAAGTGAAGTGGGAGGGGGCACAGAGAAGGATGGAGAGAGGACATGATTTGGGCGTTGGTAAGACTGGGTTTAGTGGGACTTGGTTTAATGATGGGTACTGGGGAACGCCCCTCCGCCCCATTCCACTAATCGGAACTGCCGCCACCCGAGGAAGCACTAGCTACGGCAGACCTTGTTTATGGATTCTGGTACATTCTGGTGAGCTTCGGGGCCCAGCCACTAGCCGGCTCCCCCCCCCGTAAAAAGGGTCCTGGCCATATCCGAAGGATAAGGGGAAGGGGGAGGGGAGAAGCACGACGGCGCCATTCCCCAATCCCGGGACCCCGAGGGCGGGGGTGGGAATTCCAAGAGCGGAGGGTGTCAGCCTCACTGGCCACAGCGGGCGGATGCCACGCGCCGTGGTGCCTCTTCGGGCTGGTTTTTGTGCAGCCGGCGCGGAAGAAGCGGGCGCTCAAATTCTATAGTCGGGGGAGCGTAAGACCCGGGTTTGCCAGGACTCGGGTTCGCCATCGTTTTTTGACGACCGCGACTCGGATTTTGATGAGGAGGAGTTTCGTGGGATGTCTGCAGCGGGAGGCCTCGTCAAAATGCAGGCTCGGCCTCGTCATTTTTTTGACGACCTCGTCGGGGATTTCCGAGTCCCCCGTACCCGGGTCTTACGTCCCCCTGATATAGCTAGCCTGGGCGCCAAGCCAAACAAAATCATCGTGCTACCACGGGGGACCGGGAACGCGGAATAAGGAACGGAGGGTTTTTTCTGGCCACGGCGAACCTCGGCTTTGAATGGGCTTCCCGACGCGAATCTGAGGAACGGCCTGGAGACCAGAGCTCCTCCTGAGCCCGAAGTGGTCCTTACTTCGGCGTCTTGGCTGCAGTGCGGAAGAAGGGCCGTGCCATGATGAACCGGTTGTCCCCCTGGACACAGAAATCGGCTCTCGACCATGTACGCTAAGTGATGATGCTAAATATGCCTGGTGGGTATTGAGCTGAGGCTGCAGCTTCATCTCCCAGGCGGAAGCCTCAACATTGATTTCTTCGACAGGTATCCATCAACGAGGATTGTATTAACCATTATGCTGCAACCCCGCTCCTCCTTTCCGCCCAGCGAACATGGGACATCGTACTCCTTCTGAGCGTGGAGTTCATGGCCTAACCATACCAGGAAACGCAAACATTGCATGTGATGCCCGATGGATGCTGAGCTCTGATGCGTCATCTCCCAAACGGACGCATCACAACTCCTCTCTTGTACGTACATTTACCAACGAGCCAACGAGAGTTGGAACAACTGAGATTCTGCATCCTCGCTCCTAATTCCCGTGCGCAATGCATCACTCTTCACATTGTTTCTGGGCGCGGAGTTCGAGTCTTGACACTTGGAATGTAAGCGAATGTCACGATAACTAAGAATGCCCGGTGGCTGTTTTGAGCTCAAGCTGATGCGCCATCTCCCCGGCGGACGCCTCAACGTTTCTCTTCGAAAGACATCCAGCAACGAGAGTTGGAACGACAAATTCGGTGCATTCTCGCTCCTCATTTCCAAAGTCCGCAGCACATCGAAATGCAGATCAATTCTAGGCACGCAGTTCGTCGCTGAACTATCGAAACAGTAAGCGACAGTCAGGAGTACTCAGGGTGCCAAGTGGACGTTGAGCTCAGGCTGATGCCTCATCTCCCAAGCGGACGTCTCAAAGCTTTCCTTTGCAAGACCAGAAGCTAAAATTGGAACGACTATTACGCTGCATCCTCGCTCCTCCTTTCCAGAGTCCTCTGTCCGTATACCGAAAAACGTATACTCGGGCGTCGGAAGCTGGCTCTGGACCACTAGAGGCGGCGATCGTATTGGATGTGGTTTCCAATTGGCATTGGGTTCAGGATGATGTTTCACCTCCCAGGCGTACGACTCAAAGATTTCCCTGCGAATGGAACGACTAATACGCTGCATCCTCGCTCCTCCCTTCCGGAGTCCTCTGTCTATAAACGAAAACGCACATTCGGGCCTCGGACATTGGCTCTCGACAACAAGAGGCAACAACTGTATTGAATGTGATGTCCGATGGGCCTTGAGATTAGGCTGATGCGTCATCTTCCAGGCGGACGTCTCAACCTGTCTCGTCGAAGCGAGTGTTGGAACGACTATGACGCTGCATCCTCGCTCCTTCTTTCCAGAATCCTCCCGATATACGTCAACAAACACCTTATTTGGACTCGAAAAAATTGGCTCCTAACCACAAGAATAAATGATTGTATCGTATGTGGTGTTTGATTGGCCTTCCGTTCAGGTAGATGTTTCATCTCCCGGGCATGTGCCTCAAACGTTCTCTCCGAAGGACATCCGACAACGAGAGTTGGAACAACTAATTCGCTGCATGCTCGCTTTTCTTTTAGGGTCCTCTGGTCATACATCAAAAAACGTTTAGCTGGGCCTCGGACATTTGCTTTCGACCACAAGAGGCAACGACTGTGTTGAATGTGATGTCCGATGGGCATTGCGATTCGGCTGCTGCGTCATCTCCTAAGCGGACTTCTCACCCTGCCTCGTCGAAGCGAGCGTTGGAACGACTATTACGCTGCATCCTCGCTCCTCCTTTCCAGAGTCCTCTATATCTGTATACACGTCGACAAGCACCTTATCTTGACTCGAAAAAGTTGGCTCCTAACCACCAGGGTAATTGATCGTATCGTATGTGGCGTCCGATCGGCATGAAGTTCAGGCAGATGTTTCATCTCCACGGCATGCGCCGCAAACGTTCCCGTCGAAAGACATCCGACAACGAGAATTGGAACGACTAATACGCTACATCCTCGTTTCTCTTTTCCAGGGTCCTCTGGTCATACATCGAACACCGTTTAGTCGGGCATTGTAAACTTGCTCTTGACCACAAGAGGCAACTGTCGTATATAATGGGTCCAATGGGCATTGAGCTTAGGCTGATGTCTCATCTAGCAAGCGAGCGCCTCACAGTTTCCTTCGAAAGACATCCAACAACGATAATTGGAACGACTATGACTATTACGCTGCATCCTCGCTCCTCCTTTCCAGAGCTCTCCGTCGAAACAGTGGAAAACGTCTGATCAGGACTCGGAAATTGGCTCTCGACCACAAAAGGCAACGATCGTATTGCATGTGGTGCCCCATGGGCATGGAGCTCAGGCTGACGTTTGATCTCCTGAACGGACGAAGCTGTCTCTTCGAAAGACATCCGCCAACGAGAGTTGAAACGACTACTACGTAGCATCCTCGCCCCTCCTCTCCCGTGGGCAAGCAACAAACTATACGCTTCTAAATATACAGGCGCTGGTGGTACATTAGTCGGGATCCACCAAAGGGGGGTTGACTCTGAGGGGGAGCATGAATTCGATCCGTTGGTGCACCGAACTACCACAAACAGATGCACCCCGCATGCTCCAATTAACGGCAACTATCGGGAGCTGCCTGCGGCTGGGGGGCAACTGTTTTGGGCAGTTCGGTGCAAAAACCGACCAATCGAACTCACACCCCGCCGGCCCCCCCCCCTTTGCGGGATCCCGAATCATGGAAGACAAGCGACGTGCACGCACGTTCTACCCGAATGGCTCTCGGCCCAGGCTGATCAAGGCGCGCGTCCCGAACTTCCTCGTCGAGAGACACCCGCCAGCACGAACCGGAGAGGGCCAGAATGCCGCACATCCTCCTCGGGAGAGCGGGCAGTGGGGGACAGGGACGGGAGAAGGTGCCTGGACCCCTCGCGAGGTCCACGCTGGCCAGCACTCTTAAGACGAAGCCCTGACGAGGACCAATTCGGGCGAGGACAAGTCGAGAATCTCTGATATCTGGAAGCTCTGGAGGACGTATCGGGCGCCGCGGCCTTCTCAGAGCGTTCTGGAACGCTCTGGAACTGGGGAAACTCCCCGGGGCGCGTTCTGACCAGGATTTCGAGGCGAATCCAGCCGTAGCCACGAGGGCCTCCGAGGAGGCCCAAAAAGGAAACAAACGAGGGAAGGGTAGCAGGTTGGGTCCTTCCCTCGTCCTCCTCTGAGAAGATCCTCGTTCTGGCCCCGCCCGATTCCTGAGCCGCGTCCAACATGTGCCACGGTGGGCCTCCGGAGAAGCGCCCCCCCCCCCCCCCAGAGGCACCCGAGGGCGACGAGGGCCGACGGAGGGCACACGCCCCGAGGCGCGGCGGGCCCCGCCTGCCGCCGCGACGGCCAGCTCCCGCGTCGAGACGGCCACCAGCTGACCTTCTCTGGGGGAGGGTCGGGGAGACGTAAGACCCGGGTACGGGGGACTCGGAAATCCCCGACGAGGTCGTCAACAAAATGACGAGGCCGAGCCTGCATTTTGACGAGGCCTCCCGCTGCAGACATCCCACGAAACTCCTCCTCGTCAAAATACGAGGCGCGGTCGTCAAAAAACGATGGCGAACCCGAGTCCTGGCAAACCCGGGTCTTACGCTCCCCCGAGAGGGGGGGACGAGACGAGACGAAACGCGCATGTCCGCCGGCAGGCGGGCCCCCGAGGAGCGGCGCGGGCGGGCCGGGGCCCGATCAGCTGTTGGCGTAAGCAACATAGTCATCTTCCCAAAGGTTCCATGGTGTCCATCCAACCACGTCTTGGTATCATCACCAGTGGTAGCCTGTAGACATTGTGATATGAAATCGCACCACCTGACCAGGGGCAACAATGCCCGTCGGTCGGCAGAAGTGGTAGCGCAATGAAGTAGGAAGGCGTTGAAAATATACAGATCGGGCTTCCGCCCACCCCCTGAAGAGGACGGCAGAGGTGAAGCCACCTCGATCATTGAAGTAGGAAGGCGCCTAAAGCAGATTGGAACCTGGGAATCCCAAACTACTTACTCTTAACAACCGGCGTGTAGGGGGGAAACGACAGGGTGGGGGCTGGCTCAGGAAGGGAAACGTCGACCTGGAATCGGCGATACATCGCTGATGGTTCGGCGATAGGTCCCTGACAGCCAGACCGCACATTCCTGGACGTCGTGGGCTATCGGGCCCCTCTCGGCGATGAGTGGGCGATTGCCGGTCGATGCTTCCCTCCGTGACAGTTGCACAATTCATCTGAATACTACTCTCCTCTCTCCCCCGAAGACCCCGAAGTCGTAGCCTGTCCCCTTCGCGTATTGTTTTTTACTCATATGTGTTTTTTTCCAATCCGAATGTTTTCGGTGTTTCCCGGATGGCGCTCCCGCTACAGAATTGTCTTCATTTTCTGGATCTCAGCCCTTCCAAATCCTACCCCCGCTGCAGCGATGACCTCATTTCTTTGTTGCGGATCTTCCAAATCGTGCTCCCGCTGAAACTTTGGCTCTCAATTTACGCTTCCGCCCTTTCCGAACCGTTCATTTACATTTTTCGTCTTGCGTCATGTCTGTTATCCCTCCGAACATGTTACGCTCTGCCGTGCTCTTCTACGCCGTGCTGCGCCGTGCGCTTCCATGCATCTCGCACCCTCTCGGGATCATCGACCAGCTCGGCATCCGACCGTGCGAATAGGAGAGGAGGTCTACGCCATGGTAAGGGATGGGAGGGAGGGTCGGAAATCAGATAAGACGCTTGCGCACCCAGCTCGCCCCTATCCTTAAGTCGGGCCTGTTCCCCTACAGGGGGATTTTGGACGAAAAATGACAAATAGTCGAAACATACCCTAAAAATAGTCAAACATACCCGAAATCGTCCCCAGACTATTTTTTTACTGTTTTTGAATCTTCCCCTTGTAGAGGGACAGGCCCGACTGAACCCCATCCCCCTCTCACGTTGCCCCTGACTGCGGGAGGGTGGCGGGGAACTGCTGGCGGCCCTGGCATCCTCGCGCCGCGCAGCAGAAGTCACGACGGGCGGCTCTTTGCCGTCTTCGGCCTCCAGGGGCCGACAGAACACGACTCGGGACGCAGTCCCGACCGAAGGAAGCGGTCTACGGTCGGGAGCTTCTGCTTAGCGCGCCGTCGCGGCGGCCCCGGCGACACGCCATGCCTTGCGAGTGGATGGCGTGCCGCTCTGCTCCGCGAGGCGGGAGGCTGGGACAGGCTCGGAACGCTGAAGCCCTGCCAAGTCGTGCCAACCGCCAACTTCATACCACTGCGCGCCCGACGGCTGGGTCGGTGTGGACCAGACCACTGTCGGGGCGGACGAGAAACGGGGACTAGCCGAAGGCGGGGGCCAATGAATCGGCTGCATGCGGCCTAATTCTCTCGGCGCCTCAGGCTGGCTGTGTATCGAGGAGAATGCGTGGCGGCGGAGCCGAAACCAGCTGCACGAAACAGATTTCGTGACCCCCCTTTTCTCCATCCCACCCCTGAGCCCTCCCCGAGAGAGGACACCGTCGCTCTCGCGATCGCCGTGGCCTGCACGTGGTCGTGCCCGTTGCCGTTGTGGTTGTGGTCGTCGCCGTGGTCGGCGTCGTGGCGTCGTGGACGTTGTCGAGGTCGTGGTCCTCGTCCTTGCGTTCGTCGATGGGTCCCGCCGACGGCGTGGAAGGGAAGCAAGCGAGGAGGATCAGCATGGAGGAAATGGGCCCTGACAAACTTCTCGCCGCTTTCGGGCCGCTGCGGTCCTCCACGGGCCACGCGGGCGGAATCGACCCAGTGAAGAAATGAAGCCTGGCACGGTCCTGGCCGAGAAAAGCCCCGGGGCCCAGGACCAGTCTCTCTCGGGACCCCTTCCTTCATGGCGAGAAATCGGACGCTCTACCTTAGGGACGCACTGACCCGGGTCCATGGAGCAGGCTCTGCAGGATCCGGCACGGTCCTGCGCGCAAGCCCGGGTCAATGCAACCCTGGCTCTGCAGGATCCTGCAAGATCCAGCGCGCTGGCTGACCCCCGCTTGCACCCCCGGACCATGAGCTTCGGCTGCCCCGAGGCTTGGATGGGCCGGGGGGTGCGTGGGGCCGTGGTGTCCCTGGTGGGCGGTCGTCGCGGGGCCTTGCCCTTGGGACCGAGCGTCTTCTTGCTGCTTCGGACCTGCCTGGAGCGCGGGCCGCCCCCTGGGCGCACCGGCAGTCGCCGCTTCCGCCCCCGAACCTCTGGGCCTCCTCCTCGTGCGTGGGCGGCGGCGCACCAGGTCCGCTCCACCGCGATGCCTCGGCTCGGCGCCTCATCTGGGCGCGGAGGATGGGGGGCGAGGGCTTCCACCTCGCCGAGGCCGAGAAGGAGAGAGAGAATCACTGTACCCGATGATGAAGTATCCGATGATGAAATAAATAATCCTGCAATCTTCCAGCATTGCCGTCCGGTGAAATGCGGAGGCGGCCATCCACCACGCTGCGGGCGTCAGTGGGCGAGCTGGACCCCTGAGATAGACTCGATCGAGAAACGGCCGCGCAGCATACAAGCAACAGGCGAGCGAGAGCTGCCGATCTGGGCTCACCTCTGGACCTCTCCTCCGTCCTCTGGAACCTGGTGCGCTCGCCGGCGGCGGGGGGACCGTCCACCAGGTCGGTGGTGCGCGTGACCTTCGCGCACGGGCGCCCGTCGGGGCTGACGAGGTACGCGCTCAAGGGCTTCTTACCCTTGATGCCCAGGGGCTGCCTGTGGAGCGATTCCCGGGAATGGGGAAAGGTAGGGCGAGGAGGAGGAGGAGGAGGGCGAGGAAAGGGAAACGCAGGAAGAGGACTAGGAGGTGGAGAGGAGGAAGGAGAAGAGGATGATGATGATATGCTGCTGCTTCTGATGATGATGATGATGATGATGATGATGATGGTGATGATGATGATGATGATGATGATGATGATGCTGATGCGGATGAGGAGGAGGACGACGAGGACGAAGCGGACGCGGCTAATGATGATGCTGCTGCTGAAGATGATGATGATTATGATGTGGATGATGATGATGCTGCTGCTGCTGATGATGATTATGCTGCTGTTGATGATGACGACGATGATGATGCTGATGATGACGATGCTGATGGTACTGATGATGATGAGGATGAGGATGAGGATGAGGATGAGATGATGATGATGATGATGATGATGATGATGATGATGATGATGATGATGAGGATGATGATGATGATGATGATGATGATGATGATGATGATGATGATGATGATGATGATGATGATGATAACGAGGAAGAGGAAGAGGCGGAGGGGGAAGAGGATGGATGGAGCGCCTGTGGGGGCTGCCTGGCAGGTCTGCGGCTCCTGTGCGCGCGGTGACGCACATAGTCTGGACATGGGAAGCCCCCTGCGTGGATTTTGGAAGAGGGCGAAAGCAATCTATTTGTTCTCCCCGCAGTCTAGTCTGCTAGCGCGAATATCGCGCACCGGTGCTATTGGAACGCTGGCTGGGATGTCCAAGCGTGTTCCCGCCGCTCGAGCACTTCTAGAATTTAGACCCCCCCTTCCTCTGTCCTCGTTGGTGGCGTGGGGTCGCAGGAGACGATACCTTTCTGCTGACGCACTACGTGCTCGCTCGCTACCTCCTGGTGTCATTCGCTCTAAGTGCGTCAAGACGTTCGGGTCCGCAGGCCTATGCAGCAAGCCCCCTTGAGAGCCCGACTCCCCTCTTTCCCGTCTGCCCGCCGGTCTGCTGCGGCACTTCCTAGGCTGGGCGTCGGGGGAGGAGGGGGAAGGGAATGAGGGTGGGGGGGAGGTAGAGGATGAGGGAGCGCGCAACACTTCAGACGGCATGCTTGTCCAAGCACCGAGGCTACAAGCGTCCCGCAAGCCTTCCCCACGAAGCGGGAGGCGCCGCCTCCAAGCAAGGGTGGTGGGATGCCCTCTCCCCCTGGCGCGGTCTGTGGGCATCCCGACTGGAAACCAAAGCGGGCATGTGGTGATCGAGCCGCTCAAGGGCCTGTCTGTGCACCCGTGGCAGTCGCGCAGCTCAGGAGAAAGTGAGAAGCACCGCCTCGGGGCATCCCCCGCAGCGGCCCGGTAACAGGTGACAGAGAACAGGGGCCGGTGGTTCACGTAGCCACGTGGTGGAGAGGGGTGCTAACGCTGGTGTGCCGCACGTCGAGCGTCGATACAAGCTTGAAGGTTGCCGTGGAGGGACACCCCCAGGGCCGTTGTCGGTCGAAAGGCCTGTTGCAGGCCGCTCCAGGTCTCTTGCGCTTGCTGGAACCTGTCGAGCGGCGGGGCTGACTGTTCCTGAATCTGGTGAAGGGAAGACGCCAGATGGTTGACTCCGCTGTTGGAGCGCATGAGTACTGGCGATGATAATGGTTTCGCGGTCACCTCGGTGCTGACTATTCGCCGCAGTGAGGTGATGTGAGAGGGCTTGCCTGCGGTCCGTGCGTTGGGCGGTACCGCTGGCGTGGTGGCCGTCGTCCCTAGCCTCTCGGCCATCCCTGTCAGAACCCTGGTGGGCCGAATGGGGAGCAAGTTGAGGTGGGGGCTCTGACGCTCCTGGGCCGTTGTCGACTGGCCAAGAGAGTGACCATGGTTGCGCTCGTCTGGGTGGTCCTCGACTGCGTTGTTTTCGCCTGGGAAGTGATCCTGAGGAGGGAAGTCGTTCGCTCTTCGTCATCATGAAGCGAGGCCCAAAACTCCAGCGGGGCGAGGTCCTCCCCTGCGAAAGCGTCTGGTGGTGCCGACCGAAGGCTGTCGATTTCATCGAAGTGGTCCAGTCCTGGTGGACCGGCCGGCGGAGGCGATTCTCCTTGTGCACCTGTGTCCTGCCCCCTTTGTCCGATGGTGAGCGGGTCCGCCATCATTTTCGAGCGTTCAGACCTGGAATACTCAGCCCTCCTGTGAGGCGGAGAGGACCAGGGAGAGGAGGGGCATGGGGAAGACGGGGAAGGGGGAGGGAGGATGGGGGAGGAGGCGAGGGACGATGGGGAAGAGACCTTCCTGCCACCCTCATTCTCCCTCTCACCTCTGCCCGGAAACTGCTCTGTGTCCTCCCTCCCCCGAGATCCGACGCCTCGAAGAAATTGAAACATGCTGAAAAATCGCGATCCAAACACTGGACCCCACCTTGCTGCGCCATTTTTCGAGCCAGATCGATCTGTGAGGGCCCCGTGGCTCGAAGCCGTGCAGGCGCGGGGCGCCCCCGGGCAGGCCGGGCACGGCGGCACTGCCGGGCACGCGCAGTGGCAATTCGGGCACGTGGCAATCCTGTTCAGAAAACAAATCAGGAGAGGAAGGAGGAGGAGGAGGAGGAGGAGGAGGAGGAGGAGGAGGAGGAGGAGGAGGAGGAGGAGGAGGAGGAGGAAGAGAGGAGGAGGAGGAGGAGGAGGAGGAGGAGGGAGGGGGAGGGGGAGGGGGGAGGAGGAGGAGGAGGAGGACGAGGAGGAGGAGGAGGAGGAGGAGGAGGAGGAGGAGGAGGAGGAGGAGGAGGAGGAGACAGTGGGCGACATCGCCCTGCTCGAAAAAGAAATGAGTCGCCAGAATCTCTCGGGGTCTCTCCCGAGGCCCCCACAAGCTCGACGCTCGAGCATCGGGAGAGGTCGTCGCCGGCGGGAGCTCCCGCTCCTTCACCCCCGCACGCGCCTCGCCCTCTTGAGCAGCCTGTCCACTGCGCCAGGGCCACCGCGCGGCGCGCTCAGCTGCCTCGGCTTCTGGTGCATGGCCTGGGGCTCAAGAGGATGGGGAGGATGAGGAGGATGATGATGATGAGGAGGAGGAGGGGGAGGAGGAGGACCAGTGTAAACCCAAGAGTAACCAACGATGTTGGAATAAGCTCTCCTCCAAGCTCCCTCTTCGTAGGCCCCTGCAACGGTTCAGTGCCACAGAGGGACCTGCCTCGTTGGAAGACAATCGTTTGAAGACCCTGAAGCATGCAAACATTTTTTCGATATTAGAACGCCACGGACCAACCTGATTGTTGCGTCTTGACGATCCTGAATCGTGCCAGAACGCCATTCCTGGGGCCTCAACTCCGCGAATCATCGTAACTGTTGCGCCCTCAAAATCGTGAATCCTTCCATCACAATTTCTGGTACGTCGACCATGGGAATCCGTGACACCCTTGCACATTAAAAAAAACAAATGTGCGCGGCGCTAAAACGAGAACAACATTTTGAAAAAAGAACCGCCCTCAATCCGTGATGCTCTTCCAAGTGTTTAAAACGAGTGTGCGCGGCGCTGAAGCGAGAATCACACTTTGAAAACGACCCGCCCTGAATCCGTGAAGCTCTTACATATTTGGAGAAAGAATTTGCGCGGCGCTAAATCGAGAACCACATTTTGAAAACCACCCGTCCTCAATCCGTGAATCTCTTGCAATTTTGTAAGATGAATGCGCGCGGCACTAAAGCGAGAACCACATTTTGAAGGCGACCCGCCCTCAATCCGTGAAGCTCTTGCAACTTTTTAGTACGAATGTGCGCGGCGCTAAGGCGAGAGCCACATTTTGAAAACGACCCGCCAATTTTTAAGCTTCAGGGCCATCAATCGTGAGGAAATCTCAAGCGAAACGCCAGGCCCGCCCTAAAAAAGTGGCCTCGGGGTGAGACAGGAAGAAGTTATTTATAAGGAGATTGGAGGAGGAGGAAGAGAAGGAGGAGGAGGAGGAGGGGGAGGAGGAGGAGGGGGAGGAGGAGGAGTTCTGGAGTTCTGGGTGTGGCGACCAGGTCGGGGAAACAAAACTTAACCGCCCGATTTTTGCTTCTTGGGTAGCTCAGCTTTGCTGAGAGCTTCAGGAGGATGAGGAGGAGGAGGAGGAGGAGGAGGAGGAGGAGGAGGAGGAGGAGGAGGAGGAGGAGGGGCGGAGGGGGAGGAGGAGGAGGAGGAGGAGGAGGAGGAGGAGGAGGAGGAGGAGGAGGAGGAGGAGGAGGAGGAGGAGGAGGGGAGGAGAAGGAGGGAGGAGAGGAGGAGGGGGAGGAGGAGGAGGAGGAGGGAGGAGGAGGAAGAGGAGGAGGAGGAGGAGGAGGAGGAGGAAGAGGAGGCTCGAGGACCGATGGTCAAGGCCGATCTTGCGATTCGCGTGGCGCGGAAGGCGCCCGGCTGGCGCTCACAAAGGGGGAGGGGCTCGGCTGCCCAGGCGTCGTGGCAGAACAGCGACGGCCGCGTGCTCCCGCCCTCGATCGGTGCCGCGGGGGCCGGCTCCTGGGACCCCCAGAGCATCGAACACCCGCAGTGCCGACGGGCCGCTCGAGGCTCGGGCACTGCCCAGCTTGGGGGCACCACGCGGAGGGGTGGAGGAGGAGGAGGAGGAGGAGGAGGAGGAGGAGGAGGAGGGATGGGGGAGGGGGAGGAGGAGGAGGAGGAGGAGGAGGGAGGAGGAGGAGGAGGAGGGAGGAGTGGAGGAGGAGGAGGAGGAGGAGGAGGTGGAGGAGGAGGAAGGGGCGCCGACAATACGGTTTTGGGACTCGGGTCGGTCTTCGAGGGCGTCGCGGGCGACAGGGGCACCGCTGGGCCCCAACTCGGATATCGGCGAGGCGACGGGCCGTGCGGTGGGCCTCTGGGGGAGGGGGGGGTCCTGGTGGGGTGAGGGGCGGAGTGCGGCGCTGCAGTGTTTCAGCCAATGTCTCGTGCACGGCGGGGAAGGCGACCAAACAGGGTGCACCTTTTATTCGTGCACCTCCGGCGCCCCAGGGGGGTCCCTTTCTGCCACCCTCGGCCCCCCCCGATGGATCGCCCCCCCCCACTGCGAAGCGTCCGGCGGGAGACGGGGCGGAGAGCTCCGGCGGGCCCTCACAGTCGTGAGGCATAGGGTCGAATGTGTGGCTCGAGAGGCCAACTTTCTGCGACGTCAGAGGGGGGCCTCTCTGAGAGGGGAGCCGCTCCCGTGGAGTCGGCCGCCCCCCCCCCCCTCCCGAGAGCGGGGGCCCTCCTCGAAAGCGCCCCCCTGATCCTGTGAGTTTTTTTTTGCCAGGAGATGACGCTGGGGGAGGGGGGGGATGGAGGGGAACAACAAAGGGGCACCACATTCGGACTTTCGCTGAAACCTTCTGTGTCCAGGGCATTCTGGCATGCAACAGTGCACGCGGCAAACTCGAGCGTCTGCGCGGTCTGGGGGATAGCGAGAACGGAAAGGCCGTAAGCGTGCCCAAACTCCTGCCCACAGTCGGTATGTAATTTCATCCCGTCCTGGACCCACGAAACCCTCGCCCCCGACGAAGCTACCATCCCTCGAATGCTCGTCGAAACGGTGAACTACGGGCTCCACGCTGCTCTTGGAGTCCTGCGGCAGATGCGTGTTGGCAACCACATAGGCGGTGGAACAAGGTGTTCTGATGCCGGTGACACAGAAGGCAAAGGAGCCTTATGTTGCTCCCATCGTACTTAAGGACGACATCTCAGAAATAATTCCGAGCACCCAGACAAGTGTCGAAACGATGTCGAACGAGTGTCGCCCCCCAGGGCCCGACACGTGAAAACCCTCAATTCATGGAGCCTGGCTCACCAATCCACGGATACGGCCTGTCTCGAAGGGGCCGAGACGAGGGGCTGCAACAGGCCAGGGCCACATCTAGGCAAGCCCGACGATCCAACCCCCAACGTGTCCCCGTACGCTCGCTCGTGTCCCCGCAGAAGGGCGAGAATACGGTCAAGAGCTTTTGCTTAGCGTGCCGCGGCGGCGGCCCTGGCGACACGCAATGACCTGCGAGCGGACAGCTTGTCGCCGCGCTACGCGGGAGGCTGGGAAGGGCTCGGGACGTGGACGCTCGGGGACGTATCGCGTCGCAGCGTGGTGGGCCACAGACGGCGGAGCGACACACTAAGCAAATGTTCCCGACCGTGAGGAGGAAGTGGAGGGAGAGGACGACGGAGAGGATGTAGGATGTAGGATGTAGGAGGAGGAGGGTAGGAGGAGGAGGAGGAGGAGAAGGAGGAGGAAGAGGAGCAGGAGCAGAAGAGCAAAGACGACGAGGACGAGTGCGACTGCGACGACGACAACGAGGCCGCGCGGGGTGCGCGGCCGCGGCGTCCACTATCAGGACGCGCACCTCGCCGTCCGGGCACCTGACGCGGACGCTCGCGCGGACGGTGGCGAATTCTCCCTTGTCGTTGACCTCCTCCTCATTCCGCTCCCCCTCATTCCTTCTTCCTTGTCGTTGACCTCTTCCTTCTCCTCCCCCCGCTCCCCCTCATTCCCCGGACCTCCTCCTTGCATTCGTCCTCCTCCTCGTCCCACTAATCCTCCCTGTCGTTGTCGTCGTTTTCCTCCTCCTCCTCCTCCTCCTTCTCTTTCTCATTATGCATCCTGGATCCTCCTCCTCCTCCTCCTCCTCCTACCTGTACTGCTATTGGTGCCCCTGGTGCGTGCGCCGCCTCCGCCACCCTCTCACCCACCCGCACTCACACACTGGCGACGGATGTGCAACAATTCGGCGGGCGCGTAATTCTTCCTTTTCGTGGCGGGATTCTCGCCTGCCTACCCTGTTAACTCCGTGAAGATATATGTTTATATTTGTATGTCCCAGTATATATTTACATTTACATAGTTATATACATATGTATGTAGATACCCATACATATATAGTTATTCCGCAATCAGAGCTGGCTTCTGTAGGAGTCCTAGCAGATTCATATGGTTAGGTGAGGTTCGTCGCCGATTTCGGTAGCCGGCCCGGGTGCCCGGGTGCTCGGGTGCCCGGGTGCCCGGGTGTCCAGGTGCCCGGTAGCCCTATAGCCCAATAGCACTAATAGCCTTAGAGGCCTAATAGCCGTATAGCCCTGTAGCCTTATAGACTTATAGCCATATAGCCCAATATCCCTATAGCTCTAGAGCCGTATTGCCCTAGAGCCCTAATAGCCCTACAGCCGTATGGCCCTATGGCCCTATAGCCCTGTAACACAATAGCCCCATAGCCCTAGATCCCTATAGCCCCATAACCTTATAGCCCTACCGCCTTATAGCACTGTAGCCCCATAATCCTATAGCTCTATATATATTATGATTGGTGTTCTCTCTGGTATCAATACACATGTATGTGTACACCCATACATCTAGACATATACGTGTATGTATGTATGCATACGTGCATGTATGTATGTATGTGTATGTATGTATGCACGCATGTATGCATGTATGTAGATGTAGATGTAGATGCATATGTAGATGTATAGGTAGGTGTAGATGTAGATGTATATGTAGATGTAGATGTGTATGTGTATGTGTACATATAGTTATATACATATATATACACTAAGAGCCCCTCCTGTGATCTACCTTCCTTGTTGTTGTTGTTGTTGTTGTTGTTGTTGTTGTTGTTGTTGTTGTTGTTGTTCCATATGCTTCTTTTCTATGTTCAGCTATGCTTCTTCTCCTTCGGGCCGTCTGTTTATTATTTAGCTGCTTGCGGCAAGTCCTGCCACTGTGCTATTGTAGCGTGCTCGGCGGCTCTCGTTCGAGGGGCACTGGAGACGGCACTCACGAGGGATGAACAACATGATAACACTAATGATGACGACGATGGCGATGACGATGGCGATGCTGATGGTGATGATGATGACGATGAAGATGACGATGCTGATGATGACGATGCTGATGCATATGGTGGTGATGATGATTGTTGGGGTATCGTGGGGGGCTTCTCGGGGGCCCCTTGGGGGCAATTTTGAAGCCTCTTGGGGGCTGCCTGGGGGGACTAGGGGGCTCGTGGGGGCCTCTTGGGGGTTGAAGGGTTGATTTGTTGGTTCGTGTTCCCCTTCGGTCGCCCTCCCGCTTCCGTAGCCCTTCTTGGCTCAAGTTGGCTTGCTCTTGCCATCATGCCAGCCTCGTCGAAGGATGCGCTCGATAAGGAACGCGCCGCAAACAGGAACAGAGCACGGGTCAGGGCGGTAAAGATTTTCCTCAACAACCTTGGGTGAGGCAGTCTTTGGAAGAAACGGTCTATTGCGCGGCCTTCAAATGAAAATCTTTTGTGGGACAACACACATTGATTCCTTATCTGGGAGACAGTTGATATCATGTTACAGAGACATACAAATGCTTAGACGGGTGGATTCCGTTTTTCTAGCAAACGGCATCTTTGTCTTGGCTCCGCGCGGAACCAGCGCAGCAATTCGGAGACAATTCAGGCCCTATGGTCTAAAAACCTAAGACTGCAAGGAGAAATGGGAGAGGAAGGCGGGGGACTTGAAGCCAAAAAGGCAGCAAATGCACCGGTGACCGTTTGCATTCGGCACGCAGAATAAAAAAGGGCACCGGGCACGGAAGACACCCATCCCCCCTAACAGCATACACGTGCAAACACTGGTTATGTTTAGACGGGTGGATTCCATTTTCCAACAGACGGCATCTTTGTCTTGGCTACGCGCGGAGCCAGCACAGCAATTCGGAGACAATTCAAGCCCTATGGTCTAAAAATCTAAGACTGCAAGGAGAAGAAGGAGAGGAGGGCGGGGGACTTGAAGCCAAAAAGGCAGCAAATGCACCGGTGACTGTTTGCATTCGGCACGCAGAATAAAAAAGGGCACCGGGCACGGAAGACACCCATCCCCCCTAACAGCATACACGTGCAAACACTGGTTATGCTTAGACGGGTGGATTCCGTTTTTCCAGCAGACGGCATCTTTGTCTTGGCTACGCGCGGAGCCAGCACAGCAATTCGGAGACAATTCAGGCCCTATGGTCTAAAAATCTAAGACTGCAAGGAGAAGAAGGAGAGGAGGGCGGGGGACTTGAAGCCAACAAGGGAGCAAATGCACCGGTGACCTTTTGCATTCGGCACGGAGAATAAAAAAGGGCACCGGGCACGGAAGACACCCATTCTCCCTAACAGCATACACGTGAAAGCACTGGTTATGCTTAGACGGGTGGGTTCCATTTTTCCAGCAGACGGCATCTTTGTCTTGGCTCCGCGCGGAGCCAGCGCATCAATCCGGAGACAATTCAGGCCAATGCCCAGGGAGGGTGTCTTAACTTGGCTCTCGAGAGGCGAGTTATATCATCACAGAAGCGAACGGGGTATTCAGCAGCGAGCAGAGAACGCAGATTCTGATTCTCATCGCGGCCTTCGACAACTTCGTGCGGGAGACCTGAGAAAGGGTACGTGCCTCTGTCCCGACAGTGCTGAGTCGCCACGTCAGACATATCGATATTCGCATAGAGCAGCCCTGCTCGCTTGCGAAACCTGGACCCATATGCGCAGTGATCGAACATGATGTAAGAGAACAGCCTTAACAAACGCTCAAACCGAGGATGCGACCAGGGCATGGGCGACGCGGGATTCTCGAGCGCGATGGGCGTCCCTGTCTTGGCAATTGCTTCAAACCGGAGGGCTGCCCAAGTCGCCTGCTGATTGCCGAGGGCAACTTTTCGTGCATCTTTTTCGCTCAGACCAGGCAGGCCAAGGACATTGATTGCGTCTCGAATTGAGCGAGGCCAGCCTCGGCGCGCTCTGACTCGAGGCCCGCGCCTCGCCCTGGACCAACTAGAGCACGCCGGCGCGATGGAAACCAGGGCCAGCCGCCCGAACTTAACCAGCTCGCACACCTGCGCCTGCACGGCCGGGCGCATGGCGCCCTCGAGCGGTGAGGCGCTGAGCTCCCAGCTGCGCGCGACCAGGCCAGCGCGCGCGGCGTCCCGAGCAATGCCCCTCGTGCCTGCCTGCCATCAGGTCGACGACGAGCAGGGGCGAGGAAGCTCGGCGCGGCAAGTGCAGCTGCGTACTGCGCCGGAGTCACCGCGCCCTCGCGCTCGCGCTCGCAGCCGTCGAGCGCGTTCAGAGCCTGGATGCAGTGATTCGCATCTGCCGCGGCAGCCTGGCGGAGGTATCTGCGGCTGTCCAGTCCTGGCCTGGCCGTCGCCGCCTTTCATTGGGGCATCTGCCCCAATGAGTGGCAAGGGAAAAAGCTCGCCCCTGCCTCCTGAGCGGCGCTGACCAGCATCACCCCCTCCAGGAGGACGAGGGGCATCAGGCCAACCGGCGGCGCTTGAGGGAGGGCGACTTGCGCCGCGGGGCGGCGCCTGGCGACTTGAAGGTGGTGAGGCGGCTGCGCCGGATGGGGATCGAGCCCCGCCGCCTCGGCTCGCGCGAGCGGTCAGTCCTTCTCCTTGGCCCCCTTGGGGCCTGGCTTCTTCGCCTCCTTCGCCTTGCGGCGCTCCTTGTCGACGGCGGCCTCCCTTGGGAATTCCGCCGCCGCGTGCGCCCGCAGCGGCGGGTCCGCCAGCGCGCCTGGCGACGCCTCGCCCTCCCCCATGAAGTGGTACGCGCCCTCGAAGTCCGCCTTCTCGGGGTCTTTCGCGTGGGCCTCCTCCAGCAGCTGCCGGCGTCGGTTCAGGTGCTCCATCGAAATGGGGCTGGCGAGGTTGAGGCCGTCGGTCGACGCCGCGAGCTCGAGGGCCCTCGAGATCACCCTGTGCTCGTGCGCCGATCGCGACCCCGCGCGACTCGACGAGCCAGCGCTCGTGGGATGCCTAGAACTCACTTGGTGCCCGCGACTGCAGCCCAGTGACCGCGTCGCCCATCGTGGGGGGGCCCCGCAGACGGATCGGCGCGCTCGGGTCGCGGACCAGCAGGCTGGCATCGGCCAGAAAGGGCGTCGCCTCGGCGCCGCGCGCCCGGGCCAGCAACCGCGGCTCGCCTCGCTGGAGGAGGGCCTGTCGTTCGCGGGCCCAGGCGTCGATGTCCGCGTTCGCCTCGAGCCGCGTCGCCGCGCAGAACTCGCCCGCGACGGCCGCCGCGGAGCGGCCGCCGAAATCGAGCGCCGCTGGTGGCAGCGCCACCTCCGGCCCGACCGCGTGGCTCTTGCCGGGCACGTCCAGCGCCCGCGTGCCGCCAGCGCCGGCGCGGCGAGGGGGCGGCGGCGGTGGGGCCGCCGCGCCGGTGGCGGCCTGCGCTGGGGGCGCGGGCAGCGGCACTGGCACTGCGGTAGGGGCGATGCCTCCCACGCCGCCGGCGGCGGCCGCGTCCGCGGGCTGGGCCAGCCCGCGCGCGTGCCGCTCCACGATCGCCGCCGGAGCCTCCTCGGCCAGCAACGCCGCGAGCTCGGCCGGCGCGGGCGCCACGGCGAAGCGGTGCTCCCAGCCGCCCGTTAGGCCCGCGGGAAGTCCCCCGCCCGATGGGCCGAAACGCAACCCGCTGAGGTCCGTGTTCGGGCTGTCCAGCTGCTCGATGAACATGTCGTAGTCCGGCGTCAGCACCACGTAGAGGCTGGCGGTGACCCAGGCCAAGATCAGCCTCTCGTGCCATAGCTCGCCCGGGGGGCCGACCTCGTCGTACCTCGCGTGTGCGTAGGGCCCCAGCTCGAGCGCCGCCATCGGGCGGTGACGACGACCCCGCCGCCGCGCGGCGCCGCGCGCCGCCGGGCACCCGCGTCGGCCCCTCCCGCGCTGGGCGCCTCGGCGGGCGCCGCGAACGCAGGCGGCCGCGGCGTGGCCGCGAGGGGCAGCCCAGAAAGCGCCCTGGCCGGCGCCGCACGCGCCGGGGGCCGCGCCTGCCGGGCCGCCAGGCCGCAGGCTGCTAGCCCGGTCAGCAGGCTCCCCGCCAGGAAGCCCCAGAGCGCCGGCGACGCCGGCGAGCAAGGCGGGCAAGGCTCCGCAGAGGCGGCGGGCACGGCCGCTGCAGGTTTTCGGGCCCGCAGCGGTCGAGCTGCTTCTCTGGCAGCTCGAGGGCGCCGGCGCTGTCGGTCTGGCTGCAGCGGCAGTGGCGCGGGCGTGCAAGCCCCGCGAGCCACCACCCAGCCGGCGCCGCGCCCGCCGCGGTCCACGGGTCGGCCATGCAAGCCGACGCTGAAGCCAGGATTGTGGACTTGAAACCAAAAAGGCAGCAGATGCACTGGTGCCCTTTTGCATTCGGCACGCAGAGTAACCGGGGCACAAGGCGCGGAAGACACCCATCCCCCCTTGCAGCATACACGTGCAATCACTGGATATTTTTTTCCATTGTGCGGCCATCGCATGGAATCCATTTGCGCTCGGCTCGGGGGGGGGGCCTGGCCGACGAAAAAACCATAAGACGAACAAGACAATCTGGGCGACCAAAAAAGGTGCGTTTTCATTGTAAATGATATGTATTAGTAAACCCAAAAACACCAAAACAAGAAATGGAAGCACAACAAGCATGTGTTTGCACAATGTTTAGGCATGTACACATTGATTTCCATTGTGCGGCCATCACATAAAATCCCATTGCGCGTGGCTCGGGGGGAGGGGGGACCTGGTCGACGAAAAAAAAACAAAAAAGACAAATTCGACCAAACAGAACAACAATGTGTGGGACCCAAAACGCTGTGTTCTTATTCGTAAATGGGTCTTTATGTGTAAACAAAAAACCCCAAATACAATCTGGAAGCAAGGAACAACCGTATTTTTCACACTGTTTGCGCATCTACACATTGATTCCCATTGCGAGGCCACCAAGCAACATTCCTTAATCGGAATCAATGTGTAAGCCTCCACAGAAAGATTCTGTTTGATGGCCGTGCACTCGGAATCGCTGTGTACATGCCTCTTTGGGGCTCTACACATTGATTCCTACTAAGGAATTCTGTTTGATGGCCTCGCAATGGGAATCACTTTGGCATCCAAATGGTCTTTTTGGTGGTTTGGTATACAATTAAAAACTGTTTACACATAAAGACTGCGCGTGCTCCCCCACCCCCGTCGCGGGGAAAGGGGAAGGGAGGGCTGCTGATTTTCTCGAGCAACAAAGGGCTGCAGGATTTCGGGTCGTCGCCCAAACAGTCTGATTATATTTTGATATAATCGTTATATTTATATATATATCGATAGAACTACAAACTTCCAAGCACCTCTCCTGGGGCGCAGGGAAGCGGCTCGGCCTCCAGCCGAGAAGCATGAGCAAGGTACCATCTTTGTGGTTCGTTCTGCGGGCCTTCCGCGGGGCACCCCGCTGGCCCTCGGCCCGTGCGCGGGTCTACCCGCCGTGGGCAGGCGCGGGGCTAACCGCAGCCTTGTCGTTAGCTCAGCCTCGGCCGTCGTAGTGCTTCCTGCGACCATCCGTCTAGCTCTCTGGGCGGATCAGCTTCGAGCCATCGTGGCGATCTCGGCACTCGCTCTTGAACGTTTCAGTCCACTCTTTCGCGGCCTCAAGACTGCCCAAGTTCTGTAGGTTGATCCTGATAAGGGGTCCGCGCATCGTAGCCGTCACTCTCAGCTGCTCGATCTCCCTGGCCTGGCGATCCGCTAAGACGTTGCCCTTCTTGATCAACTTCATGATCAGGTCGTCTTTGAAACCGCTCACGTGTAGGCCTTTGGCTCTCAAGATCTGCTTCAAGTCGACCACGAGAAACGTGTTGAAAAGCTTGTGCCTCGCTGCTCCGTCGCACCGTGCTGGGCGAGGCTCTGTGCCAAGTCCTTGTGCACTCATGGTCCTGACCTCCGTGTCAGCCCGCGTAGTGAGGTAGATGTCGGCGCCCCCAGGAGCGGGGTCAACCGCCTCCTGGATGAGGTCCTTCGTGAGGTAGTTCCTCGCGTGGCAACCGCGCGCGCATCCTATAACAAACGCTGCAGCGATCACCGCGAAGACACCTGTCTTCAGGATGAACAGGAACTCCTCGTGATCCACGTAGTGGGGCACACGTGCGGGGCAAGCCGCTGCCTGGCCTGGCTCCTCGTGTACCGTCACCTTCTCGCCTGGCGCAGAAGTCGCGACTCCCGTGGCAACTGCCATCGCGCTCAAGCCCTTGAACTGTTTCCCGAAAGTGAGGTTCAGAGTGGTGCAGTGCTTCTCTATCGTCGACCACTCGCTGTACTTGGTGAGAATGTCTGCCGTCATCTCATTGGTGTCCTCCTTCCGGAGCTCAAACGCCTTGAGTCGCGACCGCTCTTGAGTCCATAAGCACCTCCGTTCCAGGTGCCTGCCCTTGCCCACGCCCACTCTGCTGCGCATGCCCCGTCCCGCGGTGCTGTCGCTGTGCGTCTTCAGATTGCCGGGCCTCTGGGTCTCGATCAGGTAGGTCTTGCACTGGAATCCTCTGGCAGTCGCACTGCCTGTAGCATACATCTCGGATTCCCCGGAACTTAAAGCTATGGTGCTCTGCGCCACTGAGTAGCAGTCCCACGTGTGGTCACCATGCCGCACTGCTCCTCCGCTCGTGGATCGTCTCTACAATCCGCTTGAAGGGGCCCAGTCAGCATCTCCGTCCACGCGAAAGCCTTCAGGAGTACCCTGCAAAGGGTAACACCAAACCAGCGCAGGCAGACCTTCATAGTACCGTCTAAGCCGCTGAACTCGCGCATGCATCAGAACGTTGGGGTTCAAGACGCGTTGCATCGCGGTCTTGCTGGCATGCATTGTGTCGGGCCTCTCCGAAGAGAGGTAGGGCGCCGTGCCTGCTGCACCTGCAACTTCCCGAGCTCGATCCTTGGACAGAAGGTCTAAGCTGTCTCGTCGTCCTTGTCCTGTAGCTTTCGTCCCTGGTGTAGGAGCTGGCCTTGCACCCTCGCTTCTGTGCCCACTGAATCATGGAATCCACGTGCTTAGGCTCCGCTGTCCAGAATAGACCTGGATCCTCTGACCCTGGCAGCTTGTCGGTGTACCCGATGATCCTCTTGAGGTAGTTCGTCCGCCCAGGTCTTCCGGTACACAATCTGGCACTCGCTGTGACTTCGAACTGCTGCTTCAGCAACTCGTCCAACTCGTCCAGCTTTTCGTCGTAGCCTTCGGCCAGAAAGTCATCTCCGTGGCAGATCGCTGTGCTGTTCTCGTCGACGGCAGGGATGTTGGGACTCGCTGGTAAGTAGAAAGCGTTGGGTGTCGCCACCAAGCATTCCCAGTGGCCGTCGTCCATGGTAGTCCGCACCAGCTCTCCCCACATCTGCGATGCCTTCCTGGTGCCGTTCATGGCCTTCCGCAGCCAGCAGCACATTCCAGGAGGGCGCAGCTCATGTCCAGGATGAACGTATATTGTCTCGTCGAGGTCGGCGTTGAAGAAAGCCTTCCTGGCGTCCCCGGCTTGAATCATCCGCTTGTGCTCTCCCGTCGAAGTAGGGCTCGATGCGACGCGGCTTAACGTCGCCCTTGCAATCATGAGCGGCGGCGTGCCTTGGTGGTTGTCATCGCGCACCTCGTGCTTGTTAATCTCCGTCGCTACGAACCTCCACCTGACTCGACCTTCCTTCAGGTGGGCTACGGGGCAGCCTCCGATATGCTTGCCGTCGGTCGCCGTCGGCGTCGCCACCTCCACGTAGACTCCATAGTCCTTCATGGCCTGCAGCTCGTCGTCGCGACCCTTCTGGTACATGTCCTCGTCCAAGGGTTCTCCTGTGTAGCAATCGTTGTGTATCGTCTGCGGGCTCCACTGGTCGTGCTCGTGCATCTCGGCACTGACCCAAACCATCTGCTCGATCTGCTCCTCTTCTGGTTCTCCTAAGTGACTCCTGACCGTGCCGATGTGGCTCATCAGGCAGCGCCTGCGTGCACACTCACCTCCGTGGCACTTCCTCCGCTGGCATCACGCGAATGCTTCTCACACCTATCCGAGCATCTTGAACTTCGTTTCGGGAATGGGCCCCGCATCGGGTCGGAAGTCTCGTCGTAGCCTTCCTCGCAGACTGCCAATTCACAGACAGAGGGCATACCGATGGTTGCTACTCTTGGCTTCTCGATCTCCACTTCGGCCCTGGGGTCTCCTGGGGCACCTCGGTGGAAGTCGCTCCTGAACTGATCAGGTTCCGTCTGCATGGCTGTCTGTGCTTCTGCCTCTCCTGGGACAGGAGGCGTGGCCGCGTCCTCTGCGTCGGGCGCGGGTGTTACGGCTATGTCACTGCTGCTCGATGCCGCTGCTGGTCCAGCCGCTGCTCCAAGCGCGGGGGCTCCCGCAGCCGGGGCTGGCACCGCCGCCGTTGCCTCTGGGGCCGCAGGGCCCTTCCCCGCCTTCTCGCGCAAGAAGTCGGCCTGGATGGTCTCGAACCGCTGGCGGCAGGCTCCCGAATGCGATCCGTATCCAGTGCTGCGTTTCCTGCAATCGTCGGTCGGGCCGTGGACGTCGATCACGCGCTCCGTGATGTACATGCTGCGTCCGATGGGTCCTGCACTCTTGTCAGGGATGTGCTTCCACGGCGCCCCCCTGGTATTCTGGGTGAGCTCAGGCAGCCACCGAAACTCTTCTGGCACCCTCCGCGCGGTCCTGACCTTCTGCGCGCCGCGCTCTGGGTCGGTCACGAGGTGAGTGTCGTCCAACTCGGTCTTTCCAACCCAGGTCCCTTTCGCGAAGCGGGCCTCCCACTGGCCGCGTCCAGCAGCAACTCGGGCTGAGATCCTATGCCGGACCTGCCCGCCCATCTCCGCGATCTCCCCACTGTGCGCCTTGCCGTGCAGCATCTTGTGAGAAGAGCCTCCGTGGCTTCGTGGCTGGAACCTGGTGATCATCCAGCCCGCCGGGTTGCCGAGCCAAGGCGCGATCGGATCCGTCATCTTGATCTCGCGTCCCATCTTGTGCTCCAGCTTCAGCTTGTGGGTCCGTGGCAAACCTGCTGCAAGCTTGTTGGCGCCCTCGGCGTAGCCAGCGCTCCGCTTGGAGAGAGGCGGTGGCCCCCGCGCCAAGGTAGAGTGCGACCTGCGATCTCGAACTGCACTCGCCAGGGCCATCGTTGCAGGCTCCTGGTCGGTCTGAAATACAACTGCCGTGTGACCCCAGACCTCCAGCACAACTATCAGGAATGATACTTTGTAATCGTCCTACTCTTTGGTAGCATGCAGCGTCGCGTGTGCCAAGATCTTGCAATCGATCGCGTTCAGAACCGCGATCGCCTGTTCGAGATCTGCTTTCGTTGCCGGCGGCTTCTCGCGGATGCAGAAGTAGCCTCCTTTGAGCTTGTGCTTAACCGCCAGCTGGTCAGCTCCCGCGTAGAAGATGTCGAACACCACCTTCGGCACTTGCTTCTCGTCCGTTGGCTCCTGTACGTAGTGTGGAATGTCATCCGCTCGAGCTTCCACGCGCGCTGGACGCCGAGGGCGAACAGGTAGGTGATGCGCCTCGTGCGCGGCCCTCTCCGCAGCGCTAGGTTGGCAGGGTGACTTCAACACTCTCGTCGGCGCAGTCGCAGTCTCGTTCGCCTCTGGGCCGAGGACCCTGGGCAAAGATCGAGCTTCTTGTTCAGCTGGGACCTCCCGCGGTAGCGTCTTCCTCGCTGCTGCTACCTGCGTGGCTTCTGGCATGGTCTTGCCGTCTATGAAATGATCGTGCCCTGAATAGTAGTTTACCCCATGACGCCGTAGAGACGAATTCAGCCCCTTCAGATGGCTCGATGGTGCCGTTGATGCTCCAGTGACCTTAAGGACTATGGAGAACGCTCTGGCCTCGTTGCACTACCGCATCTATGGCCGCAGCGGGATGCTCCGCATCGGCAACTTCCGCACCAACTTGGGTTACCTCTCCTCCTCTGGGCAGGTTAAGCTCCACGTGGCCGTGCCGCTCGATCTCCTCGCCCCCGATGCCCGTCAAGCCAACGACGCTTCTGGCCGTCGGCGTGTAGTTGTGCTGGGTAACCTGCTTTCTCGGCGCAGCGCTGATTTGCGCGCCTGAGTCGAGCGTGATGGCATTCCGAAGCGGGGCTAACCGCAGCCGGTCATCTTCTGACCCTTGCTCCTGTGGGCCTCCGATCTCGAGAGGCGCGGGTCCGACCGCAGCTGACTCGCAGCAGCTGCAAGAAGTCGAACTTCGAGTGCCCGTGCTTGTCCAGGCAGTATTCTGCGCCCGTCTCGCAGAAGTCCAGCTTCCACTCTTTGTAGTGCCCCTGAACATTTCCCTCGCGAGATGCAGATGAACTCGCGGTGGGCGGGCAGGGTGTACTTCCAGTCGATCCTGTGGGTTCGTGCTTTGTGACCTCGGCCCTCGGGCCCGCAATTATCTTCGCTTGCGGCCCTCTGCAGTCTGGCGAGGTGACGGGCGCTGCCGCTGCGCTGTCGGCGCTGCTGTGCGCCCCTGGCAGAGGCTGCGCGTGCATCGTCGCCTTTGTCGCTGGAGCTACACCTGCTTGGCGCAACCTCTCGAGCTCTTTAACTGCTGCTGCCGCGACCCTCTTCTTCTCTTTGACATTTTTTTTTTTTCCTTTTCTGTGCTGCTTCTTGTCCTTGTTGTCGTTGTTGGCGGCTGCCCTCTTCTTCTTGTCGGCTATCCGCTTGCGGCAGTTGGCGCTTCGGTGGCCTTTCTTGTGACAGTTATTGCACTCCAGGTCGGCGTCTGGGTTCGGATGCCTCTCCTTGCCCTTGCCTTCCTTGCCCGTGCCGCGGCCTTTCCGCGCCTTCTTGCCGCGCTTCAGCCCGCCGGTGTCCATCGGATCGTCGTGGGCCGCTCGCTCCGCCGTCGCCGCTGACGCGACTTCGGCTCGCAGGAACTCGCGCGTGTTCAGCCGACTGCTGCTCCGAAACACGTGCCTCTGCTACCCCGCGTGGTCCTTGAGCGCCTTGGTGAGGGTACCTCGCATGATGAGATCCGACACGGGCTCGCCCGGCATCTTTAGGCACCTCGTCATGTCCTCGTCGAGCCTGCTGTTGTTCACCATCGCGTCGTCTGTTGCCTCGAACTTCGTGTCCGTAAGCATGGTCCACATCGCCGGCGCGTTGCCTGCTTCGCTTGGGTTGCACTCCTTCTGAAACTGCCTCCAGCAAGCTGCTCCTTCGCCCGCGCTGCTGTTCCTGACGATCATCTCCCCTGCCGAGTCCTCGGGCATGACTAGGGCCAGGGCGAAGTACAGCTGCGTGCTTAGCTCCTCTTCTTGGGCTGACAGGTTCACGTTGTCTACGTCCTGCGCTCCATCTTCGCACTTCTCGAGAAGAGGTCGATATCTTCGGTCTTGCGCGATCAAGTAGGCCTTGCACTGGAAGCTGAACGCCCCCCAGCTCGCTCTCTGACCGTCGAACGGCTTCACTTTGAAAAAAATCTTCGGGTCCGTCATCTCGCCGCGAGGCCCCTGTCGGTCTGTCCTTGAAGCTGACCTCGCATCTCGGCAATTGCTAGATCTCGCTGCTGAAGCGCGTTCCTTATCTGCTGACTCTCTGTCGCCAGCCTCTGCACCTGTTCGACAAGTTCTCGCGCTTGACCTTCGATCTTCCTTGTCGACCTTCGCCTGGCGCTGGAGATCGAGCGCGAGCTGTCGCTTCGCCGCTGCTCGCTCTTCTTCCGCGAGCTGAGCGGCGTCGCCGTGCTCGGCCAGCTTCGTCCAGGCACTCCCTCGGATCCGGCGGTGGGCTCTTGCCTCTGGGGCTCTGCCACCGCGCTTGTTCGCCTTCTTCGCCTTGCGCTTGCTTGCGGGCTTAGCCTTGAACTTGCTCGAAGGCTCGAGTCGAACTCTCGTTCTGACCTCCTTGCCATGGCGCGGGTCCTCCCGCGGCTCTGGCCAGCAAGGAATATTCCGTTGTAGAGCAGCGCGAATCGTCTCGCCGCTGCTTCCGCGGTCCTCCCGCCGCTGGGTCTCCTCGAGGGGCTCTTGGAGCTTGCCGTGTGCGGAGCTGCCCCGCAAACCTCAAGCGAGCTCCGCTACCATGCGCGTGCCCCCCCCGCCCCCGTCGCGGAGAAAGGGGGAGGCACTCGCTCAGATATCAGAGCCCATGAGCCAGTAATGCCACTGCGCAGCGCGCACTCTGGCGTCGTACTTTCTGATGCCTGAAAGGGTGGAACTGCGCTTGTAACAGCGTTTGGGCATCTACACATTGATTCCCATTGCGATGCCACCAAACAGAATTCCTTAACAGGAGTCAAACCAACTTACACGTAAAAACGCAACGTTTTTGTTCCCACATTTTGTTTTTTGTGTATTTTGTCGGCCAGCCCCCCCCTCTCCCCCGAACCAGGCGCAATAGGATTCTATGTGATGGCCGCGCAATGGGAATCAATTGGCACATGCCTAAACATTGTGAAAACGTATGTTTTTGTTTGCGCTTTCTTTTTTTTCGTCGGCCAGGCCCCTCCCTCTCCCCCCTGGGCCAGGCGCAATGGGATTCTACTTGTTGGCCGCACAATGGAAATACATTTGCAAATGCCTAAACACTGTGGAAACACATGTTTTTTTTTGTGGTTGGTGTTTTTGATAAACCAAGTTACAATGAAAAAACACAGCGTTGTTGGTCCCCCAAATTGTCATTTTTTTTTGTTTTTTGTATTTTTCGTCGGCCAGGCCCCCATTCTCCCCCCGAGTCATGCGCAAATGGACTCTATTTGATGGTCGCACAATAGAGCCGATTTGTAGATCTACATAACATGATATCAATCGTCTCCCAGAGAATGAGAATCATACTGTGTTGCCCCACAAAGGAATTCAATTTGAAGGCCGCCCAATTGGAATCGATGTGTAAATCTGTACAGCATGATAATGTGCAAAAAGTCATGTTGCAAGCAATCGCATCACGTTCACGTTTCGCTTAAACAAAAACCAGGACAGGTAGATCACAGGAGGGGCTCCACACATATATATGTATATATATATATATACATATATATACATATATATATAAACAAATATATACACACATGTGTGTATGTGTGTCTCTCTACCCGTTGCAAGGATAGAGGGCGATTCCTTCGCAGAGCCGGCATGCATGCTGACGGGGCGTTCGTCTATATCGTGGCGCTCCCCGTTTTAAGCAATCATATCTGCAGGGGCTGGGGGCGGGACCTGGGACGGAAGGGTGTGCTTTAGCGTCGTTGATGCATCCTGGGTGTAGTCCCCCTGCTGACGCTGACGCTCGTCGTCGATGGGGCCAATCCGAGACCCACGACCGTTGCCGCCCCCCGCGCGGGGACACTGGTGACTTACCGACCGCGGGCGATAATAATCACTGGGGGATAAGAAAGCTCGGGTGTCTGGTGGGGATGATAAAGGATTTTCCCTGGGAGTGTAAGTTATGATGATGATGAGGATGAGGATGAGGATGATGATGATGATAATGATAATGATGATGATGATGATGATGACGATGATGATGATAATGGTGATACCCGATCTCCCTGGAACGCGGCAGTGGTCGTACTATGCCGCCACATCAAACATGAGCTACGCCCGCGCGCCCAACCAGGAGCCCGGCCCGCCGCTCTGCGACGCCGCCAGCAGGAGGTCCGCGAGCCGCGCGACCAGTGCCGCCGACACCCATGTGGCTAGCTGCCGCGCGTAGTCGGCGCCCTGCCGGCTGCCCGGCTCACCGGGGATCGTGGCAACGCGGCGCGCAGCGGCCGCGGCCTCTGCGATGAACTGCTGCGCCGCCAGGCCCATGCGCCCTTCCGTCTCCACGGCGAAGGGGGCGACCGCGGCGCCGTAGCGGTCACGCTTCTGGCGTTCGGCGTCGGCCGCGGCATGACCGACTGTCCGCTCCGCGGGCCCTTCCCCGGCCGAGCGGACCGTGACGTCTACCCACACAGGGGCCGGGGCGCCGGGCCAGCTGACGACGAGGTCCATGCGCGCCTCTTCGATGGCCCCGTCGCCCTGCACGCGGTAGAGCTCCGGAACGCAGCGCTCGATGTCGACGTACCCGCCGTGCGCCGAGATCCACTCGGCGAGGGCCCGCACGATCTCGTTGTGCAGCCTGATGCGATGTGGCCCGACAGGGCAGCACAGCGCGTGGTTGCCCGCGACATCCAGCGGCCGGCCACACGCACCTTGGCGCCCCTCCTCGCCAGCTGCCCCGTCCCGGGAGTAGACGAAGGCGCACGTGGACGGAGCTCCCAGGAGGTCGAGCAACAGACGGCGGCGGAACATGACGACGAAGGCGGAGTCGCGGAGCACCGCGTCTTCTCGAAAAACGCATGTACAATCAAAATCCAATCCAACGCATGACGATTACGGCTGGGGGGGGAGGAGCGACGGAGCGGGGACGACATGGGATCCTGTGGGCTCCTCGGGAAACCTCCGGAGGGCCAAGCGTGCGGGCGGGCGTGCGTGGTGCACGTCTCGAGCACCACATCGCAGCACCGTGCATTGCGGAGCCACCAGCGAGCAATGGAGGATGGACGGCATGGGAGGAGAAGGTACGACGTATGGTGAGAGCGAGGGCTCTTTCACCGCACGAACCACCAACCTGATGACTCCCATCTTCGAACACTGCATATCAACACCGCGGCCATGCTGCGCTGCAGCGCGAGACGGAGAAGTGGGTTGAGGGCATCTGATCTCTCGGCATCGCGTGCCGCCTCCGACAGAAAGCCATGACACCAGGCCGCCGGGAAGACAAAACGAGGCGAGCCGACAACAGAAAAGCACAAGTTGGAGGCGGCCCGGGGGTCTGAGGAGCTGGTTGGGCCACGAGAAAATCGGTCAAGACGGGGGAGATGACGGCAAATCCGCCCAAAATCTGTCCCTGGATCCTCCCAAGGTCCAGCTGGTGCAAATTTTCACCCAGGATTCGCTTTCGACGGTCCTGGAACCCGAAAACGGCATGCGGGGGCCAACAAAAAGAAGACAACTTCTCGAACCCAGCGCCTCGAACCTCGCCCGCCCTTTCTGCTCGCTGGAATCCGTGCTGGGCCACCTCAGACCCCCGGCCGGCGCCAAGGCGCAAGGCCGCACGGCACGCGGCGTCCCAAACCGTGACTCGGCAGGGGAAGGCGTAGGGCGAGGAGGGGGAGGAGGAGGGGGAGGAGGAGGGGGAGGACGAGGAGGAGGAGGAGGCGGAGGAGGCGGAGGAGGAGGCGTAGGGCGAGGAGTAGGGGCGACCGCGGCGGCGGCCGAGCGGCGGATGGCGGCGCGGCGAGGCGGGAGCGGGGCTCCGCGGATCCACCGCCCAAGTCCGTCGGCGGCGAGGGCGGGATCCGCCGAGGGGGCCAAGCAGGACTGGCACAGCTGGTGGCTTCGAGCAGTAAGCACGAAGAGCCCATTGGGCCCATCCAGCTCTTCCTGCTCAGCTACTCCTGGGTCCTCCTCCTCCTCCTCCTCCTCCTCCTCATTCGTCTCATTCGTGCTATTGTTATTTCTCCTTCTCCTTTCCACAGCTCCTCCGCCTCCTCCCTCCTTCTCCTCTTTCTCCCACCTCCCACTCCGCTCCATGCTCCTGCTGCTACTCCTCCTCTTCCTCCCTCTGCCACTCCTCCTCCTCCCCCCTCCTCGCCCCCTTACTCTTCATCCTTCTCTCCCCGCTCCTCCGCCTCCTCCCCTCCTTCTTTTCTTGCTCCCCCCTCCTCCTCTTCCCCCTCTTTCTCATTATGCATCCTGCATCTTTCACTTGCTCCTCCTCCTCCTGCTCCTTCTCCTCCATATTCTCATCTTGCTCCTCATCCCCCTTCTCCCTCTTCTCCTTTGTCTTTTCCTCCTCTTGCTCATTCTTCGGCTCGTTATCCTTCTCCTCCTCCCCCCTCCCTCTCTCCCTCTCTCCCCCTCCCCTCGCACTCCCTTCTTCTCAAATTGGAAACAACGGACAAAAAGGATAAACAAAACAGAGGACAAATAATGACCGTACTTTGGTGGCGCCGCGTGTCTCCGAATCCGCCGCTTTTGCTGTGAGACGAGGGCGGGACGCGAACCAACTCGCGATTAAGGAACGGAACAAATGCTGCATTGAGCATGGCGCTGGGCGTAGTAGGCTCCATGGGAACGGAACGTAAACCGTTCGCGGCAGAAGGCAGGGTATGCCGGAAACGCTAGGTGGAATGGGAGGGGCACAAGTACACTGAGGAAGAAGAAGAGGATCGAGGCCTGCCAATTAGGGTCCGAGTAGATGGGGTCGGAGGATCGCGCCGCATCGCCAATGCGTCGTCGACGTCGGCGATGCATTGACGACGTCGACGCTGAGAACATCGAGCTCCACATCGAGACGCATCGCCGATGCATCAGCGATGCGGCGCGATCGGCGATGCGGCGCGATCCTTCGAACCCATCCACTCGGACTCCACTGATGAGGCCTCGTTCGAGAGGCTGAGGAGGAAGAGGAGGATGATGTGGAGAGGATGATGACGATGATGATGACGATGATGATGATGATGATGATGATGATGATGATGATGATGATGATGCTGATGATGATGATGAGATTATGAGGATGATGAAGAGGAGGAGAAATACGAGGATGATGATGAGGATGAGGATGGCGCTGATGATGCTGATAATGCTGATGCTGCTGCTGATGATGATGCTACTGCTGATGATGATGCTGATGATGATGATGATGCTGATGATGATGATGATGATGATGATGATGATGATGATGATGATGATGATGATGATGACGATGCTGATGATGATGCTGCTGATGATGCTGCTGATGAGGATGGGGAGGAGGAGAAGGAGGAGGAGGAGGACGTAAAGGTGGGAAGGGGCACGACGCCGCCGCCGCCAACCGTCGCCGCCGCCGCCGCCGTCGTAGTCGTAGTCGTCGTCGTCGTAGTCGTTGTCGTCGTCGTCGTCGTCGTCGTCGTCGTCGTCGTCGTCGTCGCCGTCAGCGCCCCAGAACGGCGGCGGCGGCGGAACGGCGTGGCGGCGGTGGCGCAACGTTTGGCAGCACGCTGGGGCACCGCCCGGGCGCCCTGCCGGAGAAGACGCCCCCATTACCTCGGGGTCTCTGGAGGCGACGACGGCGGCGAGTGGCGTCGGCGTCGTACTCGGACATTCTTGCGTCGCGCAAGAGCACGGCGGGAAACTTGGGGTTTACATTCGACCTCCCCAGCTCCGGGGCCCTTCAGAAAACTCTCCAGGATGAAAAACTGACCCCGGGGAAAACGTCAAGACTTCTGTTGAACCACGTTCCCAAAAATAGCGACGCCCGATGTCTGGAGGAGGAGGAGGAGGAGGAGGAGGAGGACGAGGAGGAGGAGGACGAGGAGGATGAGGATGAGGAGGAGAAGGAGGAGGAGGAGGATGCGGAGAAGGAGCAGGAGAAGTAGGAGGAGGAAAAGAAGAAGGAAGAGGAGGAGGAGGAGGAGACGGAGGAGGAGGAGGAGGACGAGGAGGAAGAGGAGGAGGACGACGAGGAGGAGGATGACGAGGAGGAGGAGGAGGAGGATGACGAGGAGGAGGAGGAAGAGGAGGGGGAGGAGGAAGAGGAGGGGGGGAGGAGGAGGCGGGGGAGGAGGAGGAGGAGGAGGAGGAGGAGGAGGAGGAGGAGGAGCAGGAGAAGGAGGAAGAGGAGAAGAAAGATGAGGAGGATGAGGAGGAGGAGGAGAAGAGGAGGAAGTTGAGGAACAGTTGAGGGGGAGGGGGAGGAAGAAGAGGTGGGGAGTGCGACCAAGAATACCCACAAGATGTATCGACGATGTTGAAACACACTCTCCCATCACAATTCCCCTCCTCACCGCCCCATGGAGCCGCAGTCCAGCTAGGGTCCTCTATTATTTGCTACTATCATTGCACATGTTTGAACATGAGCTGTCTTGCATCCTTGGACCTACAGGGGACGTAACGAAGCCAAACCAAAGAAATGTCAAACGACAACTCCGCCTCGAAAACCAAATCGCCATCCATCCGTGTAACCGTTGCACTATTTTGAACGTCTGGCTTGGGTGAGATCCCCATTGGGCGCTGGCGTTTCTCCCCCACCCCGGCTCAAATCGATTGCGTTTTTTTGTTTTGTTGATTTTTGCGGGGCCCTTTACCTCGATGCGTACATCAATCTCCCTTCTTCTCTCGCGAGCGGCAACTCCTGAAGATACTGTACACGATTGACATCAGCTTGCGTTGTGCATGAAGAACAACCGCGCGACCCATGATCGACCACGATGTTGAGGCTTGCTCAGCCTTGACAGATTTTGCTAAGCACTGCTAAGACTTGGTAACCCTGCTAAACCCCGGTAAGCCCTACTAGACCCTACTGAACCCTGTCAGGCACTGCTAAGCCCTGGCAAACGCTGCAAGCCCGGCCAAATCCTGGTACGCCCTTCTGTTGAGCCCGGGTAGCGATTTGCGATGTCCTAGCAAGCTCTGCTAACCTCTACGACGTCCTGATGCGCCCTGCTGAGCACTGGTAAGCTCTGGTATGCTTTGCTACGCCCTGGTGAGCTCTGCTAAGCCCTGCCTGCTAAGTTTGGTAAGCCGAGCTAAGCCCAGCGAAGCCAGGCAAGCCATGTAAGCCTTGCTCAGCCATGCTGTACCTTGCTAAGCCTTGGCAAGCTTTGCTAAACCCTGCGCTTCGCCGCTTCCGCCCTCCTCGCACTTCACCTCCTCCTCTGTCTCCTCCTCCTCCTCCTTCTCCTCCTCGCCCTCCTCTTCCCCTCTCGCTGCTCGTGCTCCCCCTGCTGCTCGTTCGCCTTCTCCTCCTTGCCCTCCTCGCCCACCTTCTTCCCTCCTGCTCCTCTCCGCCCCTGTCGCCCCTGCTGCCGGTCCCCTCCTTCCACCTTCTCCTGCACCCGATCACTCACGCTACACCTCCTCCTCCTCCTCCTCCTCCTCCTCCTCCTCCTCCTTCTCCGCCCCGCACTGCGGCTCCTTCCTTCTCGCCCCGAGCCACTGCTGGCCGCTCAGAGATGCGCGTCGGGTGCCGGAGCCCTGCCGCGTCCGCGCTCTCTCGCGCTGGCCTCCGGAGAAGGGCACCCCGTGAAGCACCTCTCGGGGCCCAGACCGCGAGGCGCGGAGGGAGCGGTCGCCCTCGCGCGCCCCCCGTGGGCGACGCGGTGGATGTCGCTGCACGGAGACGAGCACGGCGGCCATCGAGAGGCTGGCCAGCAACACGAGGCGTCCGTCGACCTCGAGAGGGTGGCCTGGCTGCCGCCGTCCGCGGGACACCCACCGCCGCCGTCGCCGCCGCCGTCGAGTCGACGAGGCGATCGCCGCCGACCGACGACGAGGCGATCGCCGCCGCCGACGACGGCGACGCCGCCGTCGTCGCCGTCGCCGTCGTCGACCGTCGACGAGGCGATTGCCGCCGACGACGGCGACGTCGCCGTCGCCGTCGGCGTCTCGGCGATGTTTGCGTCGACCGTCGACGCCGTCGACGAGGCGATCGACACCGACGGCGGCGTCGTCGTCGCCATCGGCGTCGACCGTCGACGAGGCGATCGCCGCCGTCGCCGATCGCGGCGTCGTCGTCGACGTCGTCTCCAAGCCGCCGAGCGCCGCGCCAGCCGCGGAGGGCCGCGCCGCCTCGGCGGCGTGGCAGTGTCGGTCCTGGGCGGAGGTGCGGCGGCGGGGCCGACTCGCTGCGGGGAGGAGGGCGTCGACGTCGTCGCCTGCCGTCGCCGCCGCAGTCGCTGATCGCCGATCGCCGATCGCGGTCGCCGCCGTCGCTGTCGTCGCCGCCACCGTCGTCGATGGCGCCGTAGCTGCACTCACGGCCTGCGGAATTTTGCCACTGTGTTGCAAATTGGTGGGTGGGATATATGCTTGAACACGGGTCTTTGGGCGGCCATGGTGCCTCCCTGAGGCTCTCCAAGGCTTCCATAACGGCCCAGGACGCCCACACAGGCCGCCAAGAGGCCCCCAAGACAGCCCAAGATCGCTCAAGACGCCTAAGATGGCCCCAAAGGCGTCCCAAGACATGCCCCAAATACGCCCCCCCAAGAGGGCCGAAATAAGCAACCATCAATGATCTTCAATGTGTTTTTCTTTGTTTTGTAAGTTATCGCTTTTTCGATCTTCCGACGCTCCAAGACGGTCCCTGGGATGCCCGGGGCACGGATGTCTTTCGCCGGGGTTGGCTTTCGCCGGGCTTCGTTTCGCCGGGCTTCGTTTCGCCGGGGTTGGCTTTCGCCGGGGTTGGCTTTCGCCTGGGTTGGCTTTCGCTGGGGGTTGGCTTTCGCCGGGGTTGGCTTTCGCCGGGTTTGCGTTCGCCGGGGTTGGCTTTCGCCGGGGTTGGCTTTCGCGAGCGGACTCTAACGGGCGGGGCGGGTCGGGTCGGGACGAGCAAACCCGAACGGGCGGGTCGGGTCGGGCGGGCGGGACACGAAAGTGTGGGGCGCGCTCGAATGAGCACGCGTGAACCCTAACGGGCGGGTCAGGTCGGGCCCTAACGGGCGGGTCGGGGCGGGTCGGGTCGGGCAGGCGGGAAGCTAATGTGTGGAGTCGCGCTCGAGTGAGCACGCGTGAACCCTCAAAGGCGGGTCGGGTCGGGCGGGCGGACCCTGACGGGCGGGGCGGGTCGGGTCGGGTCGGGCGGACCCTAACGGGCGGGTCGGGTCGGGCGGGCGGGACACCAACAACTGCGGGGCGCGCTCGAGTGGGCACGCGTGAGCCCTAGCGTGCGGGTCCGATCGGGCGGGCGGATCCTAACGGGCGGGACGGGTCGAGCGGACCCTAACACGCGGGTCTGGTCGGGCGAGCGGGACCTTGACGGGCGGGGCGGGGCGGGTCGGGCGGACCCTAACGGGCGGGTCGGGTCGGGCGGGCGGGACACTAATGTGTGGGACGCGTTCGAGTGAGCACGCTTGAACCCTTACGGGCGGGTCGGGTCGGGTCGGGCGGACCCCAGCGAGCGGGGCGGGTCGGGTCGGGTCGGGCGGACCCTTCCGGGCGGGTCGGGTCGGGCAGGCGGGACGCTAATGTGTGGAGGCGCGCTCGAGTGAGCACGCATGAACCCTAACGGGCGGGTCGGGTTGGGCAGGCGGACCCTGACGGGCGGGGCGGGTCGGGTCGGCCGGGCGGACCTTAACGGGCGGGTCGGGTCGGGCGGGCGGGACACTAATGTGTGGGGCGCGCTCTAGTGAGCACGCGTGAACCCTAACGGGCGGGTCGGGTCGGGTCGGGCGGACCCTAACGGGCGGGTCGGATCGGGTCGGGTCGAGCAAACCCGAACGGGCGGGTCGGGTCGGGCGGGCGGGACACCAACAACTGCGGGGCGCGCTCGAGTGGGCACGCGTGAGCCCTAGCGTGCGGGTCTGATCGGGCGGGCGGACCCTAACGGGCGGGACGGGTCGAGCGGACCCTAACACGCGGGTCTGGTCGGGCGAGCGGACCTTGACGGGCGGGACGGGTCGGGTCGGGTCGGGCGGACCCTAACGGGCGGGCCGGGTCGGGCGGGCGGGACACTAATGTGTGGGGCGCGCTCTAGTGAGCACGCGTGAACCCTAACGGGCGGGTCGGGTCGGGTCGGGCGGACCCTAGTGGGCGGGGCGGGTCGGGTCGGGTCGGGCGGACCCTAACGAGCGGGGCGGGGCGGGCAGGCGGGACACTAAAGTGTGGAGGCGCGTTCGAATGAGCACGCGTGAACCCTAATGGGCGGGTCGGGTGGGTCAGGCGGACCCTGACGGGCGGGGCGGGTCGGGTCGGTCGGGCGGACCCTAACGGGCGGGTCGGGTCGGGCGGACGGGACACTAAAGTGCGGGGCGCGCTAGTGAGCACGTGTGAACCCTAACGGGGCGGGTCGGGTCGGGTCGGGCGGACCCTAACGGGCGGGGTCGGATCGGGTCGGGTCGAGCAAACCCAAACGGGCGGGTCGGGTCGGGCAGGCGGGACACTAAAGTGTGGAGGTACGCTCGAGTGAGCACGCGTGAACCCTAACGGGCGGGTCGGGTCGGGCAGGCGGACCCTGACGGGCGGGACGGGTCGGGTCGGGTCGGGCGGGCCCTAACGGGCGGGTCGGGTCGGGCCGGGCGGACCCTAACGGGCGGGGCGGGGCGGGGCGGGTCGGGCGGACCCTAACGGGCGGGACGGGTTCGGGTCGGGCAACCCTAACGGGCGGGTCGGGTCGGGCAAGCAAGACGCTAATGTGTGGAGTCGCGCTCGAGTGAGCACGCGTGAACCCTAACGGGCGGGTCGGGTCGGGCAAGCGGACCCTGATGGGCGGGACGGGTCGGGTCGGGTCGGGCGGACCCTAAGGGGCGGGGCGGACCGGGCAGGCGGGACATCAAAGTGTGGAGGCACGCTCGAATGAGCACGCGTGAACCCTAACGGGCGGGTCGGGTCGGGCGGGTGGACCCTAACGGGCGGGTCGGGTCGGGCGGGCGGGACGCTAAAGCGTTGGGCGCGCCGGAACGAGCACGCGCGAACTTCAACGGGCGGGTCGGGTCGGGTCGGGCGGATCCTAGCGGGCGGGACGGGTCGGGTCGGGTCGGGCGGACCCTAACGGGCGGGTCGGGTCAGGTGGGCGGGACACTGTAGTGTGTGGGGGCGCGCTCGAGTGCGCACGCGCGAACGACCCTAGCGTGCGGGTCCGATCGGGCGGGCGGACCCTTACGGGCGGGGCGGGTCGGGCGGACCCAAACGTGCGGGTTGGGTCGGGCTCCAGCCAACCGGCCGCGGACAAGAGAAGCCAGAGGAAGAGGGGAGAGAGAGGAGCAGCAGCAGCAGCATGATAGAACAGGAGCGGGAAGAGGAGAAGAGGAAGAGGAGAGCGAAAACGAACCCAGGCGAAAACGAGCCCAAGCGACAACCAACACGGGCGAAAGCCAACCGGGCGAAAGCCAACCCAGGCGAAAGCCAACCAAGCGAAAACCAACCGGGCGAAAGCCAACCCGGGCGAAAGCCAATCCGGGCGAAAGCCAACCGGGCGAAAGCCAACCCGGGCGAAAACAAACCCGGGCGAAAACAAAACCGGGCGAAAACCAACCCAGGCGAAATCCAACCGGGCGAAAACAAACCTGGGCGAAACGAACCGGGCGAAACGTACCGGGCGAAAACCAACCCGGGCGAAAAACATCTACGCCCCCCTGGGACCCCCCAAGACCGGCTCAAGAAGGTCCAAGGGGCCCTGGAGAGGGTTCCAAGACGGCCTCAGAGGGCCCCAAAACGACCCCACAGGGGCCCAAGACAGCCCAAGTAAGCCCCAAGACAACCCCAAGAGGGGCCTAAGAGGGGGAAGACGAACCGACAATTCGAGCATTCCGCCCGAAGAGGCCACCAGGAGGGGCCACGAAGCCTCCAAGAAGCCCCCAGACGACCCTAAGAGGCCCAACAGAGGCACCAACATGGCCCACTCCGCCCTTTCCCCCGCCTTCACCTCAGTCCCCAATCGTCATCGTCGTCGTCCTCCTCCTCCTCCTGCTCCTGCTCCTCCTCGTCTTCTCATTCTCGTGCTTACAAAATTCGGGGATGGACAGACCCCCCTTTAGTAAAACGTGGTTTAGTGAAAACGAGCTGAGGCCCAAACTTGGCTGGCGCAAGCCTGGAAAATAACGGCCACGGCGCCCTCTCGAGAACCGAAAACGGACATTTCACTAATCGACGTGTCACTGTTGGGGGTTCTGTCCACCCCCGAAAAAAGGGGGGCATCGACGTGTTCGCCAAAACGCCGCAACATAGAGGAGCCTTGCGGGGCCCGCTTTGCGTAACGATCGTCATGGCAGAAGCTGGTTTCGCTCCTCGATCTTCGATCACTCTCCCAACTTTAGTGCGAGGATATCGCCAGACTCCTTCTCCTCCTCTTGCTCTTCCTTCTCCTCTCCATCCCCCTCTCTCTTGTCCACCATCTGCTCCCCTCGTCCCTCCTCCGACCCCTTTTAGACCCTGCCTCCTCTTCTTCCTCCTCCTCCTCCTCCTCCTCCTCCTCCTCTTCCTGCTCCTCCTCCTCCTCCTCCTCGCCCTCCTCCTGCTCCTGCTCCTGCCTCTCTCGGACATCGAGCCCTCCGCCTCTGCAAGCGAGGGCTCCGGCCAGGGCTGTGGGGGCGGCTCCAGTCGTGGCGACGAGGTTTTTCTTTGTCCAGGAGGCCCGGAGAAAGCAGGGAAGACCGCAGCAGACACATTGACCCTCGAGCCTCGAAGGTCGATCCTCGATCCTCGAAGCGCGAGCTTTTTCCCCCCCCTCCCGGAGGCGGAGCCAGCTGTGGCGACGAGGGGGCGTCCGAGAAGGCCAGAAAAAGCGGGGAAGGACCGCACCAAACGTACTGATCCTCGAGCCCCGAAGCTGATCCCCGATCTTCGAAGTTGATCCTCGAAGAGGTATCCCCGAACGTCCCTCCTCTTCTGAGCGACCTTGGAAGTTGATCCTCGAAGTTGATCCCCGAGCGTCCCTCCCTTTCTGAGCGGCCTGCTTTTTTCTGGGGGGAAGTCGGGGGCTGGGGGCATGACGTCGCCTGCGGAGGGACGTTGGCAGGGCGAGCATGGTGTAATGGTATGGCTGGCCCATCAAGCGTTCCAGGATTTCCGGGGTGGGGTATCCAGCGGCACAGCCAGTGCGGAACATCAGGACGTATGGGGAATCCTGCGAACCGTGGAAATCCTGGAACATATCATTACCATGACCTTTTAGTCCCTCGACCCTCGGAACTCGAGCTTCCTCCCCACCGGTGCGGAACATCAGGACATATGGGGAATCCTGTGAACCTTGGAAATCCTGGAACGTATCATTACCAGGACCTTTTGGTCCCCCCACCCTGGCCAGATTTCGAGGAGGAGGAGGATCGAGGATCGAGGATCGAGGATCGAGGAGGAGGAGGAGGAGAAGGAGGAGGAGGAGGAGGATCGAGGAGGAGGAGGAGGAGGAGACTCGAGGAGGAGGACGACCCTCGGAACTCGAGCTTCCTCCCCACCACCCCTGCGCCGCTCCTCGGACAGCAGCTGCTGCAGCAGCCTCCTGCGCTCCCGCTTCTCCACGTGGCGGCCCTGCGGCTC